TTGACTGTTTTGAAGGGAAAAAGGTGGTTGAATGAACTAATAATGTATACAAGAGGTCCAATGGGCTTGCAGCGCTAACTGATATATACCAGCCAAATATCATGCCTCCAGACCTATTAGTTTCTGAAAAGAACTTTTTAAAATGTTTTAACACATTTGACCCCTATTACCTTAAACAAAAGTCAAAGTAATTTCTTTTCACAAACTTTGTTAGGCTTCATCCTTAGAACATACCAGCCAAATATCACTTCTCTAGGCATTTCAGTTCATGAGAAGTTGTTTGAAGGGTTTTAACAAATCTGAACCCTGTGTCATTGAATATGGGTCAAGGTCATTCCTTTTTGCAAACTTTGTAAGGCTTCATCCTAGGAACATACCAGGCAAATATCAAAGCATTTGGTCCATTGGTTATTGAGAAGAAGTTGTTTAAAGAAAATGTTGACACTGGATGACAAACATAGGTGAGCTAAAAAAATGAATCACAACAAAATATTATGAACATTTTTATTATCTTATACATGTATTTAAAAATATGGATATGGAGTCCATTAAATGGTTTCCTACTATAATCCTCTATACATGTTATTGTATTTCAGGAGCATGATTGTAAGGCATAAAATCAAAATACCTCCTAAAATCTCAAAAAAGCAGTGACATTGCCAATGTGCCTGGAGATTGCAGTGATCCATAACAAATCTTATAGGCATTTTTGGAATCAAAAGTTACAATTACGTTGTTGTATTGTGTTATTACAATACCACTTTTTTTATTAAAAAATCTTTTTCCTCCATCTTGTCATGAGTTATACAAAAAGATTACCTAACCATACTCTGCACCCAAAAATGATATTGTCACTACTTTTTCCTCAGTGTTGACAAAACTTTGTTGTATCCAAAATGAGTTACATATGTATGCATTGAAATGTCTTTGTTATGGCTTTTACAATCTTTACAATTGATAGAGCTTATATACATATTTTATTCTGAATGTCACCATCTCATGGTTTCTTCTACAACGTGAAATCTTTATTACGTTAACATGGTCATAACATTTTCTTATATACATCAAATATCCTTTCACACTCTCTTTCAATACCATTAAATACATTAAATTGCACAAAGTTTGGGATTATTATCAACACTTTCTCTCAGCTTGTTCTTAAATCTATTTTTAAATGTAACGGGCATGTTCTTACATATGGAGAGATAACTATGTACAGACAGCATTGTAACATGGAAAAATAATGCTAAAGAATAAAATGTTTACACTGTTTTACTCGGGAACAAAGTTTAAGCATTCTATATAAAAGTGCCTTTGCTTAGTCCTTTGATATGTCTGTATACAGATAAATCTGGACTCAAGCTAATCTTAATGAAAATCTGTTGTATATTTTTTTCATAACTCAAATATCAATCCAAACAGTTTACCTAGACTTTATGAAAGCATTCAATACTGTCCCTCATCAATGGCTATTAGGCAAGTTAAAGTCATACGGAATATCACAAGAAATAACCAAATGAGTTCAGAGTTTTTTAACCGACAGGAAACAGCGCATAACAGTTAACGGGGAAACGTCCGATTGGAGGGCAGTAACAAGTGGGATTGTGGGTATTGATTAGGTGAGGGTTACATTCCAGATAAAATATGTATCAATATGTGCTACATTATATTATATATCAAGCCACAAAATTCTAAATACATTATAATCATGATTACAACTATGATAATCTTAAAAAATCCAGATCTTTTGTCTTTTTTTAGACTAGCAGAAAATAGTTTGTGGCTGTTGTTCGATAAGAGGACCTAGAGTGAACAGGTTGTGACTCTTACAACAGCATAGTAACATTATATTTGATATCATATAGACTGTCTTATGCATACTACTAATGGGTATCACATATAAAACTGAAAAAATAACAATAATATATACAAAAAATAAAAATTATTATTTGCAACAAGCTCAGGATAATTGGGTATTAGGTTTATTTGATCTACGTCGACCGGTTTCGCCCGAACTATTTGGGCTTCATCAGGACATCAGAAAATTCATAAATAGATATCGGAATATTCTGAGACAGGGCCCGAATACTAGAGGTCTGTTAGAGTACAAGATGATCGTAGCATGCAAAAATCCATTAGAGATTTACTAGTAAAAAGCGATATAAACTGCGACCCAATACAACTGGGAATCGGCCCGTGTAAAAAGAACTGTAGAGTATGTACGCACATGGAACCTACCGGTACCTTTGCAAGTTACAGAAATCATAAGGAATTCAAGGTACAAGGACATATCACATGCCAAAGTGTGTATGCCGTGTACCTGATCAAATGCAGAAAGTGCGGTAAACAATATGTCGGACAGACGTCCACCACCATTAACACTCACATTCGTAACCATCTGTACAGCATACAAAACAAAGAACAGGATAAACCAGTGGCGGCACATTTTATGTTGCCAGGTCACTCCATCGATGACATCATAGTAATAGGTATTGTGAAGGACGTCACCGATACAAACCGTCGACTCCAAACTGAGGAGAGCTGGATACGCATCCTGCAAACCACCACTCCCGACGGTCTTAACATTATCTCATGATGGCAAACACTAAAACGACAACTAGGAAACAGCCGAACATGAATACGTCAACTACAAGAGTGCAAATCCCCTGCCTAAAGTGTGGAAAAACTTATTCGAGTATTAGGAACTAACGGAGGCATGCGGACACATCGCACAGCCTCATAAAAACCTGGTATAAATGCAAGATGTGTAAACGAACCTATGGAAGGAAGGAAACCTACAACTCTCATCTTAGAAAGGAGCACCCGGGTTACTGCGTGGAACCAGAACTGTTTGAGAACGGGTCCAAAATTAATGCAGTTAAACCCGTTTGAATCGTTAACCAAAAAACAATTGGAACTGGTAAAATTTTGAGTAAAACCAGGAAGTACGGTTGGCCCATAAAGCCAACAGTTCAGACCTGTCCTGGACTAGACTATGGAATTACTCAAGAAGGATTTGGAACTTTCTGACACGGATAGTGATGACACTGCGTTCTCTCCTAATTCGTCTGAAGTCAACATACGGAATTACAAGGCATTGGGATACCAGTCCACAACTGAAATAGTAGGAAGTAGCCACCAGCACAAGTCACAATCGGGCTCCACCACTTGTTTAGATGAGCGAATCTGTTAAGAACTTTATTCCATTAACTTTGTAACAGTTTTATTTCATTAACTTTGTAACAGTTGTAACGGTAATATTTCTAACCTCTCTACCGGGCATGACACTTGAGTGAATAACAATAATTTTCTATAATCACACTTAAGACATAAAATGAACTGTAGTAACCGTGATGGAATCTATAGAAGATCATAGGAAGGTCACGTATGTGACCTTTATTATTGTGTATACGTCATAATGTAATGTGCCCATATTTTTAGTACTTTAGGGGAAAATTTTCACTATTTTGATGTCCTGATGAAGCCCAAATACTTTGGGTGAAACCGGTCGACGTAGATCTAATAAACGTAATACCCACTTATCCTGAGCTTGTTGTGATTGATAATTGCTTTGTTTTGTCCCTATTCCTCAATTGCCCTGCCTACCAGGTGGTATCCAAGCTAGGGATATCAGGAACACCCCTACCTACACCTAGCACCATGGCGTTGGCTCTCATCCCTGCTATCTCTGTTAAAATTGTTATTTCTTACATCACAAACATATTAACACAATGATTACTTTCTTTTTACAGTGAATTTCATGTTAAAAGATACAAAATGACTTGAAACCAGACAATTTGACAAATAACAGTCCTCTTCTGAATGTGAAATAACATGCCCTGGGAACTAATTCTAGACACTGAATGTTTGACAGACCCACTGTATTCAATAAGGAATTACACACCCTGGGAACTAATTCTAGACACTGAATGTTTGACAGACTCACTGTATTCAATAAGGAATTACACACCCTGGGAACTAATTCTAGACACTGAATGTTTGACAGACCCACTGTATTCAATAAGGAATTACACACCCTGGGAACTAATTCTAGACACTGAATGTTTGACAGACCCACTGTATTCAATAAGGAATTACACACCCTGGGAACTAATTCTAGACACTGAATGTTTGACAGACCCACTGTATTCAATAAGGAATTACACACCCTGGGAACTAATTCTAGACACTGAATGTTTGACAGACCCACTGTATTCAATAAGGAATTACACACCCTGGGAACTAATTCTAGACACTGAATGTTTGACAGACCCACTGTATTCAATAAGGAATTACACACCCTGGGAACTAATTCTAGACACTGAATGTTTGACAGACCCACTGTATTCAATAAGGAATTACACACCCTGGGAACTAATTCTAGACACTGAATGTTTGACAGACACACTGTATTCAATAAGGAATTACACACCCTGGGAACTAATTCTAGACACTGAATGACTTCTTAGTCCTGCCAGCAAAAATACTTCTATCCAAATTAAGACAAAATCTTGTAATCCCTACAGAGAAGAGTAGTTTTGACTTATATGTAAATTTTCCTCCACTTAGCAACGCCCTTCCTACACCCGAGTGCCTTTTAGTTCCCTTAAGAATGCTTCAGCCCACATTGGTCAAGATTCAAAGAGTAATTGAAGACTAGTAGCGATTTTCAGACAAAATTGACAGATGATAGATGAATGCTGTGCCATGGTATAAGCTCACCAGTTCTTTGCACCAGAAGAACCAAAGATTAACATTCAAACATTGTGGTAATGTCACAATCTTCACCTTTTATGATGTTCCAATAGATTATATTACAAGACTTCATTTAAAAATTTACAAAATGATATTCAGATACGTATTCTCTTAACTAAATGTTAAACATGTGATAGAAATCTTACATTTACAGAGTTGAAACATTTTCAAATGTTAAAAATGAATCATAAACAATTTATTCTGTCTCAACCAATAATTTCATTATTTCCTTTATGTACACCAGGAAAGACCTAAAACAGTAGATTACCACCATTAATAACATTATATGTCTGTTTGCATGTCTATATCTGTATCTTGTATCAAAACTCTTTTGAAAGTTTGAATACTGATAACAAATGTAAAGGGGCCTCTACCAGTTATACTGTCAATGAATTATCACATGATACCTCTTCATCCGTCACAATTTCTACAATACAGTATCAACTAAGATGAGTCTTTTATTCAAAATATAGAGAGAAGTTAATATAACTGGCCCACAAGCATTATACTCCAGTCCTGAGAATAAATAGGGTCCAGATGATCACAAAGAAGCTTTCCTCAGAGAAATACACTCTAAGATGTTGTAGGATTTAAATTGTCTTTGATCCAGGGATGTTCCAAAACTTTGTCCAGGGATATTCGTTGATTAGGGTCATGTTTCAGCAGCTGAATGAATATAAACAGTGGAGATAAAAGGTAGTTGAATCAATGACATAGAATTCTTAAGTAAGACAAAGTTATACAATCTACCAGTTTCAATAAAGCAAAACGTTTTGGACAAACAACTCTTATGCCACAATAAAAATCAAATGCATTACAAGGTAAAAGGAATTTTAAAATAGTGTAGATACTTACCATACATGTGTTACATAACTGTTTCTTCATAAATAAAGCTTAAGGTCTGTTCTAAATTAATCAGAAATACCTTTATTTGGTTTTCTTTACGTGGAATTGAACAAGGAAGACCAGGAATTTTTGTCTTTACAGCACAAAAAAGTCTTGATATAATTATCACCATTTGTAAATATTTCCATGGAAATTCACTGATTGGAAATGCATTGCTTGGTAACAATTGCATGGATACAGACCATGACCAGTATTATATTCCTTCTCTTTAAACATTGAGACCAATAAAATCACATTCTGATAAACTATTTTATCTTTTTTCAAACCCCGTTTTGTTGCACAATGGATATTCAAGCTACAAAATTCTCTTTCAAAAAGGCCTAACAAAATATGTATTTAGTGTATTACCATACTGATCAGACTTCTTGCAGAATTTGAAACATATGATGGGAACCGAAGATCAACTCTTGTTATCCGCCTGTAAGTTTCCTCATGACTAGCTGCCTCAAATGGAGGTTTTCCCACAAGGAACTCATAACATAGCACACCCAAGCTCCAAAGATCCACTTTCTCATCATGAAGACTCCCCTCAATCATTTCTGGGGGCAGGTAGTCTAAAGTACCACATAATGTGGTCCTTCTGTAAAAACAGGAAATATTGTATGTAATAACTAGTAAAGCTAACTGAGAAGGTTTTATTATGAAAACTTGAGTCATTTACACGTAAAGGTCAAGCACTGCCAGAAAGAAAACAACATTCAGTTCTGGGGAGGGTAGATGTTTTACAGGAATAGATATAACACTCTGAGGATTCACTTTTCTTTCTCTTCATTTCCTTGAGACTGTGGTAACAGAACTAGTGATTTTTTCATAGCTGATTTTTTAGTAACAGAACAGTATCAAACATTTCCCACATTATTATTTATCAAGTGTTAATAATCAGAAAGTGTTGCGAATTGACTTTTCCATGTCACTAGCATTTAGACATGTAGACAACTTGGTGTTTAGTGGAGAGATCATTCCAGATTGTTACTGTACTAGAGTTTACATACTGAAACTGTTTACCTGGATGATGGTGCATGGACTGACCAGCCAAAGTCAGCAATTTTGAGGTCCCCTGTATGACCGAGAAGGAGGTTTTCTGGTTTGATGTCTCTGTGGATGACCTTTTTACTGTGGCAATACTGCAAGGCGCTGGCCAACTGGTTTATATACTGAAGATATACAAACATAATCATTCCTGTACAGAGTCAATGTAGACTTATGAATACATTTTTAAGACACAATTTTCAATTTCAAAAGGTTAATATTTCCACCATTTTATATGAGAAATGTGTAACACCGTTCATGGTCTTCATCATTGTTAGTTAAACTGATTTACATGCAGCTGGGCATTTTTTATATACCATATATATTGTTTGACATGTTCATTGTTTTTTTTTAATTTGTTTTTTTTTATACCTATAACATCATTTCAAAATTCAAAATTCAAAACTTTTCCCCATAACCATTCCTTAATTTGAAGTGCTATATCATAAATTTTATTTTCCTGGTTTGTTTATAGGCATGAAAACGGTCATGAAGGTATAAATCTAATGAACAATTCATATAATAAAAAACAATAACCCCTTCCAGGTGGCCAAGGAATCAAAAGGGGTAAAGGAGTGACATTAGAAAGGTATGAAAACAGCCAATCACCTGACAACATTCCTTATCATATTTTCCATACTATTAAAGGTTTACAGATTTATTGTCAAACATAAAACTCATTTTTGGTAACTGTTGCGGGGCCACAAAAGCTCAGTCAGTAGACTGTAGTGTTGAAATATATAACCTCTGGAGAAGATGCAAGATCTGTTGTTCAATGCTTTCTGCTCATGACAGTTTGTGTTTCTCAGAAAGCTGAGAAACAGGACCAGTCCGTGGTGATGCAATCGTTTCTTAGGACAAGACATTTAAACTAAATTTGCTTTAGATGGAATATGCTGGTCATCAATTAATACCATATAATAATGATATAAGAAAGAATAGTAGTAGCTGTCCAAGCTTTGCTATTGATTAATTGACAGGTTTTACGTCCATTAATATGGCATTTTGGCTTTCAGCGGACGAGCAACTGCTTTGCTATGTAGCTGTAGTGTATTTATATTCCATATATGTAACAAAAGGCCCACAGGCCTTAACAGTCAATTGTCTATAAACACCGAAAAATGAAGCAAGACATCAAAGCAAGACAAATCCTGTCATAGTTCCACCTTGACTAATGTACCAAATAGGAGATGGTCCAGTGGGATCAAACCCCCTCAAGGAATGAAACCACTAGAGTGCAGACAAGGATTGTTCTTGCAATAATAAAAGTGAAGCAACCCTGATCTGACATCCTTGTAACTCAAACTCATCAATGATTTCTTGATCCTTTATACGAATGTGAGGCTTGATGGAAATTCCCCAAGGAACGCAGTCGCTAAAGTGCTGACAAGGAAGTAGTAATGGCAGTGACCTTGACCCTACAACCTTAAAATTTTAACTTTATAGAGGCAAATGGTCAATTATAAGTTTGGTAAGAACTCCTCCAGGAATGAATCTACATCCCTATCCATATATCCCCCTCATGCTCTTAATTCTTAGTTCTTAGTCAGGACTATCTCAAGATCATTTTAGGTCAGTTTGAGTTGAATACCATCAGTGAAACTTGAGAGAAATTAAAAATGTTAAAAGTCTACACACAATGGATGGCACAAACACATCAACCATTACAGCTTTAGGTCATTATGACCTCGAATGAAAAATATCTGTGATGACTTAGAAATATAATAGTGATTCTGTCCACATTAAACACATGAAAAGTATTCCTAATGTCACTTACTACAACTGCTCGCTTTTCTTCAAATCTTGTGTTCTTTGTCAGCTCTTTGTAAAGTTCCCCCTTTGGTGCGTACTCAAGGATAAGATAAACCCTTGTTTTGTCGTGAAAATAGCCAAACAGACGAAGTATATGGGGATGTCTACAACATAGAGATAATATCTTGTTAAAAATGCTAAAGAACTTACACATTCTGTTGCTGTTCTTCATGATAAACAGTCAACAAAATGGTCTTGTTTGTGCTAAGGTTACAAATCAATATATTTTTACTTTGTAGACAGTTGCAAGATATACTTTGAGTCTTCAAACACAGTGGCTTTTTGACATTTTTAATACTAGTTGAAAACAAGGGCAACTCAATTATAATCCAGAAATGTGTTGAAAAGATAGATGAAATTAGAGGTACAGACTGGGCTTTCCATTGTAAACACTTGACCAAAAATTTTTTAAGCAGTAGGCATATCACATTAGATTTGATTATTTGAAACTAGGACTTGTACCTGTAATATCATGCCACCTCACCTTAAATGAGACTGTATTTCTACCTCACGTCTAAGCTGATGTTCAACTCCTGCTTTCTGTAACTGTGACTTAAACAGAACCTGGAAAGATAAATATTAAAAAAATTCTTCCATTAAATATATTTTTTCTAAAAGTGCACTGGTTCAAGTAATGTTTTTACTGCACCAGAGAAGATGTGCCAGTGGATCTTGGTGTGCCTAGTTGTATATTTTCCCTTTTATTTCTCCTCTTTCCCATTTCTCTATAAAACAAATATGCACAACTAAGGACAAAGGGAAAATTACATATATACATGTAGTTTGAAAATGATTTCATTTGAAAAATACTACTTGATGTTTAACAGGGAACCATGATACAAAAGGCACATGGCACTTGACACTATGCAAATTGTCAATCTTACATGTATCAAGCACTCCAGATGACCTCTGTAATACAAGCACTACCAACCATAGACCCTGAACAAGGGATACTTAACGGAAAGTCCAAAGAGCCAGTATCACTTACCACAATACTTCAGCATTCAATTCAAACTGTTTTTGTTCACATGCACATTTTAAATTTTTTTCTTAAAATAAGAAAGATTTTAAAGCTCTAAACCAAATTTGGTAAAAAAATAACTTTATCCAAACAGAAAAAGAATGACTTAAAATATTTACATCTATTCTCCATACTGGGTCCCACCCTTCTGTCCCTGAGGGGACCTGACAGTTGATACAAAATCAGAAGATGAATTTTGAAGATATACATCTACAATTTGCCTTGTACCAAAATTCCGATATAATTCTATCATTTATTCAGAAAATAGATTTTATCAAAATTTGCTGTATTTTCTTATTGGGTCCAGGTCCCTTCCCCAAATGATGCTTAAGTTTCCAAACCCATCTGGCCAAGTGGGCAGAGGGAGGTCTGATCTAATGTGCATTAAAGGTTGAGTCCATGTCATTCAAGAATGCTATAGACCAAAATGTGCAAAAATCAACCTGTCAGAGGAGGGATTTTGAAGAATTTACTAAATTTTCCCCCACATTGGCCAACCCCTCAGGTCTGGGAAGTTTGTCTAGCTTTCCGACACACTCTGGACACTTTCTGGCACAATCATGAAATAATAACATCAAAACCTTTTACAGTAAAGACACATAGCTTAGCCATTCTTTATCAAGTTTTAATACCTCTCAGTAATATTTAGTCATGTCCTAATTTCTTGAATTTTTCAAAAATGATCCAAATAAACTGTTAACATCAACAAGGATATTTATCAGATATTATCATCACTAATTATTAATACTCAGTGAACTCATTATCACAAAACATATATCACATAGTGATACTTTCCTTTACTAAATAAGGACATGGTACAGATAGAGTTCTGATAACATGGTCAATAAAAATATATTTGATAGAGTAATTCTCTTTTTCATGAATCACTAAGCATGTTCCTTGTTTGTCATAAAACAACTTCCATTAAACAAGTGGAATTCTTTTGATTATTTTTGATTGACTTGAGTAGAGGTAACCCCCTCAGATCCATAAACCAGTCAAATACTGGTCTAGTAATCCGTTTCCTGAGTGTTCCATTTCTGAAAGCAGTACTTACTGGTTCATTAACTGAATGCTTTTCTTAGTTTCCTTCTAACCTTATTATCAAAAACATGCCAAATATTGCGTACCAAAACTTTGAAGGAAAGGAGCACATTTTCAGGAAGGAGAACATGGATACATATTAGTTACAGGAGGTGAACCATTAGTCACCATTTGTTGATCCAGCTAGACTTGAAGCGCAAATTTATCTTCAACAAAGTACAGAACAGATTGATTGACCTTCTAATGGAGGCCTTGGTCAACAGTAGTTACAAATAACTTGATTATCATACCTTCAGGGCAACAACATATTTGGTCGATTTCTCTCTGGCCAGATATACATTCCCAAACTTTCCTTTACCTAATGGTCTTCCTATATCAAAATCCTGCAGGGACCACTTTTGTCTGCAAAACAAACAAAATTTAAACTGATGACATAAATATGATTAATGTCTATAAAAACATCACTCCAAGATTCATATGTGGTCATAGTACATAACAATGTTGTTTCAACAATTATAAGAAAGACCATTAATTATATAATTCCAATAACAAAAATGTGAATTTAGATGAAAATATAAGTGGTATCAGGCTTTTTCACTTTTTCAACATTCTATATCTAAATCATAAATATCCTCCTTGTACCCAGTTACTGTTGGTTCTCTTGGTTTTGCGGAGGCATGTTCTTCTTCCATGCCAGGTTTGGCAGTTGGGGTGAGGTCAGAGTCTTCAGAACTCTCAGAAGTCTTCAGCACACGCCCAGGCTCAGCCGACTGGGTTGAGGTTCTCTCTTTGACTGGTAGTCCAGCCACCCTCGGTTTTACTGCTGATGTGATATGAGGACCCCCAGCACCATTGCAGGGTTTCAGCACTCGCCCAGGCTCAGCAGCCATCTTTTAAACGCCTTTATCCGTGCTTATCAGACACCTATATTTAAAAAGGCAATGTAGAAAAAAAACCCTAATTTTTAGAATAGATATTTTGCAGCAATTCTTCATCGATTTGAATAGGTTTCCATAACAATGACTGATCAAACATTCCTCTTCTTCCAAACTTTGTCAAGGATTAAATCTATTATCTTGATGCAAAAAAATAATTTTAGGCTTTTCCAGATATTGAGCCTTTTTCTGGGGACTCCTTAAGCCTGTCCACATGTATATGTTGCTTAATGGTCTAAAATACCAGGTACTTAAATCTTACTTACATAAAATATGATAATTAATCCATAGAAATACCACAACAACATTATCTTAGTATGGTCTAAGTATACAACAATTTTTATTATTGTAGTCTAAATGCAAGTTAAGCTGTGGACACAAATTACAATAAAAGGTAAAAACTCTGTAAATATGTGTTGTCAGCCTTTAATATATACTGCACATCTCCCTGGTACAAACAATGTATGCACGAAGGTTCATGATACTTTAAAATATAAATATAAAATATGGACTTTATTTATATTACAACAATTGCAAATCACTCTTGATGGCCCAACTAGAAGAAGGGTCTTATTATGGAAGGAAACTGGAGTACCAGGAGAAAACCGACATGGTTGGGCAGGTGATCCCCATACCTTTTCATGTCCGTTCAGAGAATCAAATTTGGACATCTAGGTGAAAGGCCAGTGAATTGCCACAGGGCCACCCAACCACCCATACTATCTTTGCTTAACTGTTGGCAGTTGAGCTATAGACATGAAAAGGATTGACAGAGAGAGTAACAGACCAAGTTGCAACTATATGTTCCCCAATGTTTTGGGGAGCATAATAATACCATGGATAGATTGTCATGCAGAGCCATTCAGACTATGTGTATCTTGCAGGAGTACAACACAAGAACAAAAGGGCCAGAAAACATATTTCTGGACATCGAAAAAAATAAAAGGTCAATAATCCACAACTGACACACAAAAAAAGATACATTATGCTCTAATTCTAGACACTCAAGCACCATTAGATATTCTAGGGCTGGAAATTTAAATCAACATATTACCCTATATCTTTAAAACATGGCTTTACATACAAATTAATTAACACAATAAAATAGTTTGTGAAAACAAACACGCTATTTCTTCTTGGCTGTTTTTGAAATGGAAATTGTTCTCATGTCTTCATTCTGGTGCACACAAGTATGAGTTAGAGCTGATGCAAAGAGCAAGTGGGGAGCTTTTTGATAAGGCCGCTGCCCAGTAATAGCCTACAGCTAGTTGGTATGTATCTGATTATGTATGTTTACAATGCAGGGTCCTTACAGACATGTAATGTATTGGGGAGAAGTGCATATTACTTATTGTTGCTGGAGGTTACTGACTGAAGCCTTAAAGGGACTAAATGGTTAGATTTAATTTTTTCCCCGTGTGTTTGATTTCAGGCAAGTATTGTAATACTTGTAGTTAGACTTTTCACACAATTACAACACTCTCTGAGAGAAATTGATAAAGATTATCATCTTCAAACTAATGCTAGTCAACACTCACTGCTGGGTCTACCATTCATTGCTGTTTTGATTAGAAATAGCCAAGTTCATCATGTGACGTTTCGGAGCCTCATTTTAAGCCACCTTTTTGATATGAATTCTTACTATGTATAATTATGTAATGATCCAACACTTAACTTGCCAGACATGTTTCGATTCTTACTTTGTAAAATGACCTCTTGTTTTATATGTGACAGAGCGAAATTAATGGATTTGAATTAATCGTAATCAAGAAGTGTGTGCACAAAGACACAGTTTACATTCTCAGAACAATAATGATGTGAATTAATATTGGGTCACACATATTTTATCTTAAATTTGGTCTTGTTTAATGAAATGGTTATGCAAACTTTGAATTATCATAATTAACAGAAAGTGCAGTTTTTCACTGATATTTAAATGTTATAATGCTTTTTATCAGTTATGAAATGAATATCTATCTATTTAGCCTTATTAAGGGTCTCAGTTGTGGCACAATTTTCTCATCAAGCATGTTCCAGGCGATATTGGTATTGGATTAGTGGAGTGCTTTAAACTCACCCATTCTTGCATCTGAAACTTTGCATCTCCTATTGTTGTTACTTGAATATTGTTTCCATTATGTTGCTATTGGGGAAACTGCAGGAATCTTTAAAGCTTTATTTTAGTCACCTTTCAAGTGTCAGGAAGTTTGATGGGGACTATGATAGTAACATCACGGCAACCACTTTGAAAAACATAATGTTATATGTAACATTTGCCTGTGATATCTGATAATGGAGTCATGCCCAGGTCTTTCAACATGTTTGCCACACAACCCTCTTCTATGCTTCTGTAGTCCCCAGTTATGAAGTGTGCAGCCTTGCACTGGACCCTCTTTAGGGTTGTTTTATCTTATTGGTCCTAAATGACACATCAATACTCTAAGGTTGTCATATATGATATAATATTATTGCCCAACTGTGAATCTAGGATGTATAACGGCTATTGTTCTTAGCTCTGATGTAGCTACGGTATTTTTCTTGTTTTTTCGGCAGTTAATTGTATTATTTCTACAAATTATCGATAGATTATAGATTAAGAGGAGCTTTTTCAACTGTTCACCAAAAGGAATTCGTAATATATAACTCACATCGCCGGTTACCAGCATGCCAGGCTCAAGCTCAGTGAGCCGGGATGTAAACAAACCGGAACCAGGAGTGAAAACCAGACAAGGGTCACACCGAGGAATTAAAGATCAGGGTAAAGTAACAAAGGATGATGTCTTCTCTACACCATGGGAAGAAGTAGCATGGACTTGCAAAGTATGTAAGACAATATTCCAGGATGCAGATGACAAAGTTATGGAATGTGATAGGTGTCGGGAACATCTCTGCGTGAAATGTCTTAGTATGGATGATGCTGAATACAACGCCTTATCCAAATCAAGCTCAATGTGGTTCTGTGCACCATGCCAGACGATTGTACACAAAAATCTCCAGACTGAGTTTAAAGTAGAACAAAAGTGTGCAGAGGCAATGAAGAAATATGAAGATAGACTAGAGAAAGTGGAGAAAGATCTTGCCAGGAAGTGTGAGGAAGAACAAGTCAGGGAAATTATTAGAGAGGAGCTCGCCGCGAGAGCAGAACTAACTCCACTATCTGACAAGCCTCAGGCGGAGTCAACACCAAGGAGAAATGAGGCACAGGAGGATACAAAAGACGTATTGTCTGAACTTGAGGACAGGAAAAGGAGAGAGTGAAACATACTAATATTTGGAATTAAGGAGCAAACACACACAGAAGCTAAAGAATGGAAGGAAGCCGATCATGAAGAGGTTAAAAACATTTTGTCCACATGCAAGCTACCTCAAGCAATTATTGATGGAGTAATAAGAATCGTGAGAATTGGGAAGTATGACAAGGAAAAGGACAAGTCGAAGATAAGGCCAAGACCACTTCTTGTTGCATTTAGCTCAGTAGAAGACAAAATGAACTTCTTCAAAAATATTAAGCATCTGAAGAATGATGGGTACAAGGAGGTTTCTATAAGTAATGATCTCACCAAGCAGGAAAGGAAGAAAGAACAAGAATTGAGAGAGGAAGCTAAAAAGAAAAGTAGTCAGGAGTCGGGGGAATACACCTACAGAGTAAGAGGTCCTCCTTGGGACAGGAAAATAAGAAGATTCCGAAAGTAAGTAGGGATAATAAGGATAGCTTCAACAAGATACAACACAGTCAACATTATTTAAACTGTTTTTACACAAACGTAGATTGTCTTTCAAATAAATTAGATGAGATGAAATCGAGAATCAATAGTTCAGAAAACATAGACATCATAGGAATAACGGAAATCTACCCTAAAAATTTTAGATATCTACCAAATAAAGCTGAACTAAGAATTGAAGGATACAAACTTTTTATGAATGAAAATTCAGGAAACCGCCAGAGAGGAGTTGGGCTATACATAAAGGCAGAATATCATGGAGTGGAAGTTGACATGGGAAATACGTTCAAGGAAAGTATCTGGGTAAAGATAAAACTCTCCGGAAACAATTGTCTTTTGGTAGGATGTATATATAGGAGCCCTAACTCTGACGAAGAAAACACAAAAGAATTACTGAAACTAATAGATTCAGTATGTTCAAAGAAAGATTACAGTCACTTATTAGTATTAGGTGATTTTAATTTGCCAAAAATAGACTGGAATTCTTGGTCTGTTGATAATAATGATAAGGTCAGTGAAAATGTTATAGAATGTCTACGGGATAATTATCTTCACCAACATACAAGAGATTTTACAAGAGTCAGAAGAGGTAAAGACCCAAGCATATTGAACTTAATCATAACAAATGAAGAGGAAATGGTTAAGGAAATCCATTATAAAAGCCCAATTGGAAGTAGTGACCACTTGGTTTTAATCTTCAAATTTCACTGTAGTAAAGCCCCTTCTGTGGATAATATCCAGCATCTAAATTACAGTAAGGGTAACTATGAAAGGATGAGAAATGATGTACCTGGAGACTGGAATGGATTACTCAGAGGCACCATAGAAGAAATGTATAACACTTTTACAGGGATAATTGGGGAAAGTGCCAACAAATATATACCAAAATGTAAGTCTAAAAGTTATGCAGCATCCGGAAAACTAAATCCTCCACTAAATAAGGACATTTTGAAATTAATCAACAAAAAGCATAGGACATGGCAAAGATACATGGAAACTAAATGCGAGAACAAGTACAGAGAATATGCTAAAGCCAGAAACCAAGTAAAGTGGGAGTTAAGGAAAACCAGAAGAAATATGGAGAAAAATATAGCAGAGGATATAAAGAACCATCCAAAGCGTTTCTGGAAGTATGTCAATTCAAAAAGGAAAATAAAAATAGGAGTTTCTGACTTGAAGGGACTAAATGGAAATGATAATCAGATGGCAGTCACAGACCGGGAGAAAGCTGAAGTCCTTGCCAAGTTTTTTAGTAGTGTCTTCACCAAGGAACCGCCAGGAAACATACCCAAGTTTTTTGAGAGCAGAAATTTAATTTACCCTTTCAAGGAAATAACATGTAATCAAGGTGTTGTGGAAAAATTACTAGGGAATCTAAATGTTAACAAAACACAGGGGCCTGATAAAATGCACCCTAAAATTCTGAAAGAGATGAGGAGTATCATAAGTTCACCTTTAGCAGATATGTTCAACAAGTCGCTAACAGAGGGAAAACTACCACAGGCTTGGAAAGAGGCAAACATAACGGCCATTTACAAAAAAGGATCAAAATCTGACCCGGAAAATTACAGACCTGTTAGTCTGACAAGTGTAGTAGTTAAGCAACTGGAAAAGTTAATAAGAAATAGCATTGTAGACCATATGGACAAAAATAATCTTCTGAGCCCCAAACAGTTTGGTTTTGTGTCTGGAAGGTCAACCCAGCTGCAGTTGCTAACAGTATTGGAAGAATGGACAGATATAATAGATAAGGGTGGAGAGTTGGATGTTGTATACATGGATTTCATGAAGGCGTTTGACAAAGTGCCACACCAATGTCTACTAAAAAAATTGTCAGGTTATGGTATAAGTCCTCAAATTGTTAACTGGATACAAGACTTTTTAAGTAATAGATGTCAACGAGTGATTGTCAATGGCGAATCATCTAAAACATACCCAGTACTAAGTGGTATCCCACAAGGAAGCGTTTTGGGCCCCATATTATTTGTTGCATATATCAACGATCTACCTGAAATACCCGAATCTCAATCGCCACTCTTTGCTGATGATACCAAATTATATAGACAAATAAATAACATGCATGATATCAAAATACTCCAGAAGGATTTAGATAAACTTCAAAATTGGTCCAACAAATGGCTATTGAAATTCCACCCTAACAAATGTAAAGTTCTTTCAATTAAGGCAACCCAAAAACGAAATTATTATATGGAAGGATCTGGAGGAGAAAGAATCCAGCTGGAGCACGTTAACAAAGAAAAGGACATCGGTGTCACTATAGATGAGGATTTAAGCTTCAGAACACACATACAGTCAATGGTCAACAAAACAAACAGCATAGTAGGACTTATTAGAAGATCTTTTTCTTACCTAGATGAATCAATGTTTAAAATGCTATTTACATCTCTAGTGCGACCCCACCTGGAGTACGCCGCCAGTGTATGGAGCCCGTCAAAATTAAGGGACATAGAACTTATTGAAAACGTACAGAGAAGGGCTACGAAGCTGCTTCCTGGATTTAAAAACCTCTCATACCCGGAACGACTGGCAAAACTAAGTCTTCCAACGCTTCAACACCGAAGGACCAGAGGAGATATGATAAACGTTTTAAGATTGTAAACAATATATACGATAGTAGGGTAACTATGAACTTTTTTGAAATGGACAGTACAAGTAGAACTAGAGGTCATAACAAGAAAATATTCAAAAAACGATGCCGTCTTGATATTAAAAAGCACTTTTTCAGTTACCGAGTGGTGGATTTGTGGAATAGTTTACCACAATCAGTAATAAATGTGGACTCTGTAATAAAATTTGAAATAATGTTAGATGAACATTGGAAAAATAACCGTTTTGATACATCATTGTACATCTATTAACTCAGATATAAGCCAGTACACGGAAATTACTATGTAATTACTATACAATATGTAATATTTGATATGGACATAGAGGCTTTAAGCCTGCGTCCATTATTTATGCTAATAAATAACTATAAATACAGAGAACACGGCAGAAATAGACTGGCCTTCGACATGCACATGGGCAGTGTTTCAGTCTACCGATAATGGAACAATGGGCCTTTTTTAACACTTTTTGCAATGTTTGAAGTCAACCTCGAGATTTCACTGAAGAGCACTCCAACTTGGAGTCCAAGGTAGGGACACTTGAAAATCTGACCGGAGAGTAAAATTGAGCTAGGTTTGGTTTCCTCGGGTTGAACTTCATGCCCCAGTCTATTGTGAATGTAACTTCTTAACTTTGTCTACCCCTACCCTTAATGTTGATCTTCATCCATACTTTACCTCGCTTGATAATTCCAATTTATCAGTAAAGCAGCAGGCGTTCAACTTTTAGAGACTGTTCTTGAAGTGAAATGGTAGTGTTTGAAGTTCGTGTCGGAAGATTTGATTGGCTGAATTTCTCACTACGACAGACGACACATCTAACTACTTTCATTTTATCAATGTTATTAGTATTTTTATCTGTCACTGTTTACATTGCATATTTTTCATTTTAATACCAATCTAAAGCAACCATATGAGGGAAATGAGCATGTTTCTAAAAAGCATAAAATATAAACTGATCTAATATCTAACGCAAGGACACGAAGACGGTTTTATTTATATCCGGATCAGGTGCTCCAGATGAATTAAGCTGTATAGCACATTCGTTCAGTTTCTCTTTCGATAAGTTAATAATTTATGTGAGCTTTATATATATTTCCCTTTTAATTATTATTTTTATTTCCCAGCGACCCAATCAGTTGGTCACCGCCATACAATGTCTATGGCATGACATTTATACTTCATGTGCATATGACTATTCGGTTTATAGATTACCTGGGCTGAGTGAGTATATGCTGTGGATCTGCGTCCATTTACACATTTCCCGTAAAACGATTTATCAAAACCGTGGGGCCTAAAATATCATGATATTCAGCCAGAAGGTTTCTGTGACATGAAGCGGCCTGAACGCATGCGAAAAGAAATGACCTTGACCCATATTCAGGTCACGAGGGTCAAATTTGCTGAAACCTACACGCAATTTCTTTCTTTCTCTCTGACTTGTTTTTGTTTTCATGCGAGGCTGAATTCATTGAATAGCTCATTCAAACAGGTCTCAAAGACCTTGCAAGGTCGTATAGTTTCACCTTTAGATACATTGATGACGTCTTGTCATATAGATAACAAAAAATTCATTGACTACGTCCATCGTAGATGCCCACCAGAACTGGACTTCTCTCGATTTTTTCTTTCATTGAAACCAACACGGACAGCTTTCTATCAAGTTGTATAATCAACGTGATGATTTCAATTTCCCTATTGTGAAATTTCGATTTCCGGATAACAATATCCCTGTATTTCCAAGCTATGTTATTTACATGTCACAATTGATTCCATACTCAAAATCCTGTTCCAATTATCACGATTCCCGTGCAAGAAGTCATCAACTGACACACTTGTAACACAAGGGTTCAGAAGATGCAGGTTGATAAAAATTATGGGGAAGTTTTATGGTCGCCATAGTGATCTCATTTTTTTGAGCGACATGAAACTGGAAGTATTTGATGCTCGTGAGTTTGCCTTTTGGTTCCGTTGTTGTATACCTCGTTCTCATTTGAGAATGTGACATTGCTTACTTGGATTGACCAAGGTTAACATGGTGGGTGTCGTCGATGAAGCAAAAGACGCTTACTCTTCCGGAACACATAGTCTTATTCTCCTTGTACTTTTTCAGGAGGCTCTGTGTAAATTTTTCTATTGTTAAGATTTTGCCCTAGTTTTATTGAATTTGAGTTTGAAGTATGATTATATTGCCATGTTGATATTTCCTTGGTGTTTTATTGACCTATTTTCAAGGTCACAATGCTTCAACCCCGCAAATATTTTTTCCCAATTGTGCAAAAGGGGCTAGGACCATGGTATTGATTTCATGTGTCGAATTAACCAAATTCGTCAATGAGTTCTTGTCATAAAGCCCATCAAAGTTTGCGAAAGGAAATGGTGTCATAATGACCAAAAGAACTTCTTATCCTTAACCAAGATTTTGAATGCCAATGACGTGCAATGTTCATACGGCAGATTAAGCTCGTTCACTTAATTTGCGTATCCGCCATCTTGGATTTTTCACTATACTATGAAGGTTTAGCAGGAGAACAGGGCACGGGCGCATTCTTAAAACTAACGGGACAGGTCAATTATTACATCTGATACCGTTCCTATCCGAATGCATTGATAAAAAAATATGCCATTTTTTCAATGTTCCCATTGACAAAATTGAAGTGGTAATCGCTATATAATCTTTAGGTAATTAGGCTTGTAACCTGCAGGAACGACATGATGAAAAACAATCAATAGGTATTCTGAACCCGGTGTCACCGTTCAAGCGTTTCCCCAATAATGATTAGATTGCTACTGTAAGGCCACCAGAAGGGCTATCACAGTGAGCGCTTGTTAAGTTATAGAAAGTCTAACTTTTCAAACGTAAATGTGACTGACGAATTAATTTTGAACGCTACTGAACAAGTGCAAGTCTCAAATAAAAAGGATACATTTACATGCTCATGCATTAAACCGCATAGACATTATTTTACAAATAAAAAGAAATTAAGTTCTGTTTTGCCTCTACATCTAATCAGAGACGATATATACGTCTCTGATCTAATATTATATACAGAGTAAAAAATAAAGAAAAATCTATTTCCCTCTCCTATCCCCTCTTTTCATGCTTGCCGCTCCTCAAATTTTGATGACGTAACAAATGTTATGACGTCATTATTTCATGAATCTTCACATGTAATGATCACCGGCAATGATAGTGTGGTTTCTATAGTTTGACATATATATCAACTAAGTTCCTGATCCGATTGCACCTCTCGATACGACTGTTGAGCTACAGGTGAGTTTGATTACCTGTCCGTGGTTTGGCTTTCTCCAGTAGCATTCGGAAATATATCTTCGGCACCGCAAATCTGTGACAGTAGGTGTCTAATTTAGTATGTGAATGTCAGGTGAGTGACACAGGACTAATAGGCCTCTTTGAAACGTTTTAAATGCACATGGATTGGGTTATAGCTACCTGAGATGGCCTCTTCCACTGTGTTTTATTTCGAAGCATTCTTATAATATGACAACGTCACAACATTCCGTGATGTGATAAAATCCAGTCACCCCTATCCTCGTCGCCGGTTGCTATTCTACACTGTAATCAGAGACGTAAAACACAGAAACATATGTTTTCCTCGAGTTCGTAACCTATTTCTATGTGTGCTTTGCTTGTTCTGATATCAGAAATAATTTGATTTCATGACTTATTTTCTGTACAGTAAAACGGCGCAGCAACCAGTCCTCCCACCCTATTTGGTTTTAGACGTTGCTTTATACGAGTATCTAGCTATAGTCATCTGGGTGTTTGTACATGGTAAAAATAGCAAAACGGAACTTCCCAGGATGTTTCTCAATGTCTTAAAATAGAATCAGTTATCACGTGACTAGGTCAAATTGGACATTTTCCAACATCAAATTTACGGTTTGGTTGGATGGAATTAGCGAATTTATTTAAGAACTTCACAGGGATATCGAAACGACGACGTAACATAATTCTGCTTTCAACGGCCATGGTGACCTAGAAAAGTTCTGGGAAAGAAGTGATTGAACTCCAGCGCTACCTGACCGACTTTGATTTGAATTTGGAATAATGGTAACCATAACCCGATGGGGGTCTGTTTACATGTCATGTTGTTATTTTGTGTCTGATAATTTACTCATTATATTAATCATCAATCAAAATATTGATTTTAGTAACGCTCTATTGCTTTGATTTCAAATTGAGTGCAATGTCACTGTGTCACCAATATGGATGACTCATTCACGACGGCATTTCCCTTTGGTAGGTGTGTTTGTTTTCTCATACACATGATAGAAGAACGTATTATGTGTTGTGCTATAGTGTTTGTAAATCATTACATTGTTTATACATCTTATAATGTTACATGTATTTCAAAAAGTAAAATGGATCGATACAGATGTATTTGTACCATGGCAAGATTTAAAATCAATTAATAAATATATATATATATATATATATATATCAAGGATGTATATATAAATAATGCTGATCATACCTTGTCACTACCTGGTATGAAGTGTAACTATAAATATAAATGTGATGATTGGACTGTAGCCTAGCTTAATTATCATCGAAGAATGATTTCAATGTGTGAAGACTTGAAAGTCATAAGTTTGTGTAAAAAATACTGTAACCCATCTGCTGCGTAAAAAAGAATAGATGAAGTTTGCATTTATTATCCTGAGGTGTAATTTTGGAGTAAACAATATGTACATGTTTAATAAAGCAGAAACATATTTCTACTTTCACTTTGTACTGGTGATTCTAATTAAATTTAGAAATTCCCACTGCAGTACGATAAGAATGAGGAAGTTTTTTTTTTTACTATTGTTGGAACTTTCTAAGTCTACTGTGTACTTGAATACAACGGAAAAGAATGAAACCAAATGTATAGAACTATACTATTATTATTATTATGGTAATCAACTCGCTAATTTGGCATGGCAATATTTAAGATGACACAGAATATTATTATTATAACTTTGATGTCTTTCAGTAGACATGGGTGTAACCAGAGTAACAAAACGCAGATTTGCTATTGTGTTGTGAATTAAGATACAGTGACAATAAACCAATAGTCAAAGTCCAGATAATATAAATAAAGTTAAGTTGTAAAGGAAGGGTGATTTATATATACAAGGTAAGAGAACTTATGACAAAAACAAGGAAGAGTATTGATGAAATCTGTATAGGTTTCACTTAACTTTCCTGTATAAAGTGAGAAAGAAAATTTTAAATAAGTTTCAAAATATTGAGAAATACATATATAAGTAAAGAGATTGGCCTTTGTAGTGCATTTATTTATATAGCTCATTAATAAAAATAATAATCAATATTGTTCGACATATTGTGAGCTGAGAAAAAAGAAATGATCAAGTGTCAATGTGAATTGTAAATTTGTTAAAAGTGTATTCTATATCAGTTTAATAGCTTAACAATTTCTTTAAATAAAATGGTATTAAACTGTTTTTCAGGTAAAATATCTAGAAAAAGATTGGTGACATCTACATCTTCCTGTTCAACTATGGAGAAACAAAATACTGTACCAGATGAAAAGTCCCTGGCTCAGGGCATTGCAAAGATGAGACAAGTCATGATGCCACATATACTTGCAAATGAAGTTTATAACTGTAATAAAGATATGCATGCTCTGTCTCGAGTCATGTGTGACTTAAACATAAAATACCATGTGATAGACATGGAGAAACTGATCCGGGAAAACAGCGAGGTAGGATTTGAAATTTTGATTTAAATGAATATTTTGTACCTTTTTTAGTTCTGTATACATATTTGCTACAAGCTTTGGTGAAGCTGCACCAAAGTAGTTGACAACATTACTTTTCATCACATTTTCAAAGATCTTTCTACATTTTGATAATCTGTTTATCATGTTTATTTTTATTTCAGGAATTGGAACAGTTGAAGAGGATAGGATTTGCCTTCAACATTTTAGAGAAATATGCACGACATTTGCTGAAGCCACTCAAAAATAGGGCAGATATGTGGAGATATGTCAAGTTTAGTAATGCCTTCTTTAAGGAGCGTGTTGATGTGATTAAGGTAAATCTGTGATTCTTAAGTAGTATTATTGATATAGTGAATACTCCCTACCAGTTGTGTTCCCAGGGACGACATGTGATGGGCCTCCCATATGTTGTTCAGTAAGGTAGTCACCAGCTACTACAAGGAGACCCCACCTCAAAATGACACTGGCTGTTCAAAGTGTGAGAAACCTAACAAAATAGTATTGTAGTTCTTTTTGTTTATTTTATTCGCACATGACTACCACTACCACCATTCAGTAGTGTGGTAAATATGGGACTTGGTGTATCATCATAGTATGAAGTAGTATCAAGATATACTTGCAATGTGAATGATACATTTATCAATTTTTAAAAAAAAAAAAAAAGTAAAAAAAGGGAAAAGAAACATGTTTTCACTGCCATGTCCCTTTATGTAGCCATTTAGTGAGAAAAGCCCAAAACACATCAAACTTTTCCTCTCACTGAACATGCATCTATCACTTTTTGTTAGACCTGCATTTGGGTGTGTTTCTATTTTCTAACTTTTGAAAATAGAACAAACTGAAATTTGATATAGCTTGGTTGAAGGGGAGAATAGTATATTAAAATTAACAAAGAAAAGTATTCATAATAATTTAGGAGGCAATTTTACTTGACACATTTGAATTAAACTTCAGTGTTAGAAACAATTATAAACAGACAGCTGAGAGGTTATCTAAAAGATATGGAGGAATCTGTGCTCTTGTGTTTATGACTTTACATGATTACTATATTCCATAGGGAGGTCGTGACATCATGAGGCAAATGGGATATACAGAAGATATTGAAGGAGGCATGGCCTTCCCTCAGGATACGGACAGTGACCCTAATAAGATTGCAAATCTGATCTGTGACATTGTTCTCATGAAGTTTGAAATCACTCACCTGCTCAACGGACAGCATCCAGCACCAGAGACCCTTGTTGATCTCTTAGAGCCACACACCAAGTAAGTGTATACTTTATGCAGACAAACCAAATTTTCTTTTTTCAGTTCTCAACATCAAACTCAAATTTGTTAATCACATGAATGCTCTCACACAGTTGATAAGATACATATTGTCTTCTTGATTGAGTTCATGGAGAGAATGCATCAAATGTTTATTTGTTAAATGTATTTTACAGAAATGAGTTACAAGTGTGGCGGTCTGTTATGGACTATAGACGAAATAACAAAAATTCCAAGGAGAAGAAAGAAGACCCAGTAGTGGTAAGACAAAGTACAATAAAGCCCTTTTGAAGGCTACCTGTCTATAAAGGCCACTTTTCTCTGCTCTCTTTGTTGGCTTTTTCATAGCAATTTGACTGTATTTTCATATACCAGAGTTGTTGTTCCTTAACAATTACAATACATCCCTGTAAACAGTTCATGGACTACCAATAGTTGACCTCACAGTCAGGTTCTAAGTTTGAAATAAGGCAGAACTATGTTGGCATCCCTGACAACAACAACAAAGGACACAGCTGTAGTCTGTTTTGTATGCCATTGATCAGCAGGAAAAAAAATAACATGAGTGCTTTTGGAGAGGTTATATGCTAATACTCAAAATTAATCTTCTGTGATATAAACCATATAGCCACATAAACTACCATTATCATTTTCCAGGTGAACAAACATCTACTTTTAAAAAAAGTGATACAAGACAGAATGATAGTGAAATACTTTCTTATTCTACACAAATACGTTTTTTCAAGAATCTTGAAATGACATGAACAGTTTACAGAGGTGTTATGTTGAGTACAGCAAAATACTCTTGGAGAGATTGTGTACTTTCTTATAGTCAAACATCTGAATGATCAGGATGTCATTAACATTGTGATGTACAAATAATGCATATATTACAAAGCCTGTCTTTTGTGTTCCTTGATGATGTAAAAATTCTTAGCATATGTAAGTTACTGTATTTATCTCGCAATAAGCCCACATAACTGCTGACTCAAAGTGGTGCGACTGGCCTGTTAGAGAACAATATGATATGACATTAGTTGCCATTTCAAATGAAACTTAGTGAGCTGGCTTATTACCAAGTCTGGATGTATTACAACCATATGTGTATGGTATAAGGTAGTGTCTCTTCCCACAGTCTGTCCAAACATCCATCTGGTATATTGGCAAGACTTTAATTGGTTTACCACTGTTACACCTGTTCACTTAAAGACAACCTCATTTCTACTACCTTATATATCAATAAACTGATCACCTGCTAAAGAAAGACTTCTTCACAGTAAAGAGAATACAATAAAGCATAAGATTTTATATATTCGTTTTGTACTAAAATACACTGATGGTAAACCAACTTTCTGTTGCAGCTACCAACCTTCACAAATTTTGCACCACAACGTCACAAGAAGTTCTTGAATCATGCAATATAATACTTTACTATGATCAGTGTTTTCCATTCCTGTCTTAATTTTTGACTCGTTTCTTTCACAAACTTAATCAAATGAAACAGAAAGTTGGTTTACAGAACATATATTTTCATTGAGACCATATAACCATCATCATTGATTTATTGAACACTGGGTTAGAGTATATATGGATCAAGAACCTGTAAACTTTAAATAAGCCTGTTAATGTAGGTTGATATCATTAAATTATTTATCAATTTAAGAAATTACTAGGTTTTTTACCTTCCATTATTACTGATCAATCAAAATTTTCAATGATTTATCATGATTTCACTAGCATGAATAGCTTGAAAACATTTTGGGATTTAAAGCCGATCTGAAAAATTATTTAATAGACAACTTAACAAATAAATTTCATTTGAAAAATATCACATATCACCCATGTTTTGTGAGTGCTTTTGTAATTACGTAGTTTTTAGGAATGAATTGCTGATCATTCAGTAATCAGTCACCAATTTTTGAGAAATGATGATGGTTGTTTAACTTGATCATGACATTTGAAGAGATTCCAGCACAGCCTGGAGACATGCACAAGCTTTACCGATCATTTGGTGCTGATTTGATTATCTTAGGTACCATTAGTTAATCCTGAAAGAGTTATACCCACATTTCCGGGGACTGAGGGCTATATACAAGAATCTGGACTGGAAGGCTCTCAGACTGGATTTCCTAGTGAGGTTATGGATGAAGCCTCAGGTCAAAGACACCCTGGAGGACCCCACATACCAGCCATTGTTGAGCAGGCCTGGGACTCGGCTACATCAGAGAATTCTGGACAGGTAAAATTCTGTCAATGATTATGAATGAAGTGATTTTCCATTAATCTAAAAATAAACTGTTTTCATGTTTTGCATAAAAGATCATAGATTCAGACTTTTCATGCAAATATTACATTTACTGGAGTACTGTTACTTTTTCCTATTTTATGAATTATTTATTTTTAAATAATCCAGTTGACCTAAGATATGTTTTTTATTCGCTGTGAGTCACTTTACTTAGGGTGTAACTCTTGATATTTTATATACTGCATCACTTGTTATTGTAAAGGAATGACAAAACTTTGTGTTTCAAAATGTGAACAGGTGCTCTACTTGAAATAGGAACAAGTGCTCTATATAATACAAAACTATGGCCTTTGATACTACTTGGTAGCCTGAAATACTACACAAGATATCAGGTGCTGCAGTACTGTATTGCTCTTACATACATCTTGATGTGCTGTTTGATCCCAGTGTGTGGAAGTTAATATCTCCCTGAAAAATGTGATCACAGAACATCTTGTGCTGTTGTCCTTGGATTAAAGATTACACCCAAATTTTCTTTGATGACATGTGACAGGCCTCCCTGATTATGTTCAGTGAGGAAGCAAATAGCTACTGCAAATAGCTGCTGCAAATATACCGAGGATCAAAATGACCCTGGCTGTTCACAGAGCAATAAACCAACCAACCAAACAAACAGAAAAATAAAATGTCAAACCTGAAGGTTCATGTCTTCTCTTGTATACAGAAAAGACTATGTTATTAAAAATGTTAATTAAAATATCCAAGACGCATGCAGAACTGAGAAAGTGACCTGATAGAATTGAAGTGTAGCACAGAAGCACAGTGATATTTTGTTTTTTAATAAATAACAATTGCCAGGTCTTTAACTGGCAATCTGGGTCATCGTGGTCTGAATATTGTGTTTGCTCTCTTCAGCAGCAGAAGCCCAGCTTGGTTAATGAGGTCAGCACAGGAAGGAAGGACGAAGATCAATCCTGTAATAGTGTGGGTGAGTATGAATTTGCTATGTTTAGATAATTCTGTTCTACTTTATGGTGTGTATAACTGTCTAAAGACACAGCTATGAAACTCTACCAAGTATTTCCTGGAATATCAGATTACCAATCCTGAAATGAGGTCATTTGTAAGACTATTTACTGATTTATAGTTACGGGCCTTGATTTATTTCTTTTTTTCTTTCTTTTCTTCTCATTAATATATTATCTATAGACACCATATTGTTATAAAGTACACACCCATGTATGTGTCACTTAAGTCATGTTTTTATTCTGAATTCTGACCATTGGTTGTGACCAAAACAAAATAAACAATAGATAACCAGAATCCTTCAGACTAAGAAAGGATCTGACTTTTAATTATTGGCCTAAATCATCAATGAATTTAAATGTCCTACGGCCAGACTATTTTTCATTTGAAAACATTTTAGTACATGGACAACAAAATATGGACTATCAATCTTTTATCACCAAAGTACTATAGTGTAAGAGGTGAATTCCTGGGGTAATGAATATTAAAGTTGTACTGAAGATGTATCTGCAGTTGTGAGTTTTTAACCTTTTCTGTGTGCAGGAAATTTTCCTGATTATTGATTGACATTGATCTGTGTCCCTACAGTGTGTGACATTTATCTAATGTTGGTGACTTGTATAGATATATTTTCTGTGTCCCTACAGTGTGTGACATTTATCTAATGTTGGTGACTTGTATAGATATATTTTCTGTGTCCCTACAGTGTGTGACATTTATCTAATGTTGGTGACTTGTATAGATATATTTTCTGTGTCCCTACAGTGTGTGACATTTATCTAATGTTGGTGACTTGTATAGATATATTTTCTGTGTCCCTACAGTGTGTGACATTTATCTAATGTTGGTGACAAGTATAGATATATTTTCTGTGTCCCTACAGTGTGTGACATTTATCTAATGTTGGTGACTTGTATAGATATATTTTCTGTGTCCCTACAGTGTGTGACATTTATCTAATGTTGGTGACTTGTATAGATATATTTTCTGTGTCCCTACAGTGTGTGACATTTATCTAATGTTGGTGACTTGTATAGATATATTTTCTGTGTCCCTACAGTGTGTGACATTTATCTAATGTCAGTGACTTGTATAGATATATTTTCTGTGTCCCTACAGTGTGTGACATTTATCTAATGTTGGTGACTTGTATAGATATATTTTCTGTGACCTTACAGTATGTGATATCTGCGGCAAACAGGCTCCAGAGTTGGTCTGTTCCCAGTGTGACAATAAACAACTATGTACAAACTGTGACCAAAGATGGCACACACATCCTAAACGCAAAAACCACCAGCGTGAAGTTATCAAGTCACTTGATGTAAAGATGACAAGTATGAAAGGAATACCATGTAGTGAGGAACCAGTTGCCCCCGAGACACCTCCACAGCCAACAACAACATCGCAGTTAGGGGCACCGGTCAACTCAAAGCTTTCACTGTCAGGTGTACCTGTAACCAAGGAGACAACGCCCCCTGTAGGTGTAACAGGAGCTGGACATGGAGCACCTACAGCTCAGAGTTGGATATCTGAAGACCCACATGGGATGTCATCAAATGACCTTAATTCTAGAAACATAAGGAATGAAGAAGGCATCCAGGGAATGGAAGGATATGGTCAGTCAGGGTATGTATTGGTGATCTGTAAACTTTCAGCATCCAGGGAATGGGAGGATATGGTCAGTCAGGGTATGTATTGGTGATCTGTAAACTTTCAGCATCCGGGGAATGGAAGGATATGGTCAGTCAGGGTATGTATTGGTGATCTGTAAACTTTCAGCATCCAGGGAATGGGAGGATATGGTCAGTCAGGGTATGTATTGGTGATCTGTAAACTTTCAGCATCCAGGGAATGGAAGGATATGGTCAGTCAGGGTATGTATTGGTGATCTGTAAACTTTCAGCATCAAGGGAATGGAAGGATATGGTCAGTCAGGGTATGTATTGGTGATCTGTAAACTTTCAGCATCCAGGGAATGGAAGGATATGGTCAGTCAGGGTATGTATTGGTGATCTGTAAACTTTCAGCATCCAGGGAATGGAAGGATATGGTCAGTCAGGGTATGTATTGGTGATCTGTAAACTTTCAGCATCCAGGGAATGGGAGGATATGGTCAGTCAGGGTATGTATTGGTGACCTGTAAACTTTCAGCATCCAGGGAATGGGAGGATATGGTCAGTCAGGGTATGTATTGGTGATCTGTAAACTTTCAGCATCCTTGATGTGGTGCTTCATAGCATAACAATATAAATTCATGTAATGAAATTATATGTAAAACAATAAAAAGTTCATTTCATTTATCACAGTACTGAAAACAGTTAAATCTGAACCATTTGGGAATTAAGGACAAACCTAATTATCTTATTTTACTGTGTGTCAAGTCTTGACAGTCCTTTAAGGGTAATAAAGGGAGATTATTCTTGTTTTCTGTTGATTTGATTCCTCAGATAATAACTGACCTTGCTAATTAAACTGACCAGACTTAAATATTTATCCAGACTCATTCTGGCAGTATGCCCACCAGGAAATTTATTCCTCTTTGGTGAGCATGCAACCCAATGCTATGTCATTGCCCAGACTTTGATAGAGAAGTAATATGTTTGCTCATTGACGTAACTGCGGGATGAATACAGTGCTTCATGGAGGAGGTACAAGCATTACTAACTATAGATTTTTCTTTGTAATATCACTATATAATAACCCCTTAATGTTGTTTTTACTTACAGGCAGGAGACCCAGTCCATGTTTAACAGACTACCACATAATCTGCAGACACCATTTGCAAAATTGGTATGTTTATTTCGTTTCTGCGCAAATCATATGTATAGTTGAATATAAACCTCTCTTTTTTCTTTCTTGGTAATATTCAATTTTAGATCAGCAGGATTATTATTATTAAATTACAATACCTGATATTTATTCAAAATGCTTGAATCTAATTCAAATACATTACATAATGCATATGTATTTTAAAATTCTGAAATATGCTGGTGATTGTCAAAGGTTTATTTATCATGTTTGTTTTGACTTTACAGAGGTCACCAAGCCTCCCTCAACAGAAGAGCTCCAATGCAGCACCTGGTGGGCCACCAACCTCAAAACTATTACGTAGGATTTTGGAAATAGAGGATCTAGATAGGAGAGAATCAAAGATCCTTATTGATCTGGAAATGCTACAACAAGAGATACTCGATGTTGAGGACCGGTCTTCTGTCCTTATAGATGAAGGGGCAGATTTTGATGATGAAGAATACAAGAGTTTATCAAGAAGGAAATTTAATCTTCAGAAAGAGAAAAGGGAGATAAAAAAGTATTTTTTAGATATTTTTCCTCATGAGAGGCAAAAACAAAATGTTCATAGCTCAAGAAATCAAATTATTCATCCCCCTGTTTCTACACAAGGTATACAAATGGAACCTCAGCATCTTGTCCATGGATCGAGAATGAATGCCAGCATGATTGGAAATAGTACTGCATTATTTGGTTCTCGGGAAACTCCTCTGACCACAATGAGCCAGCATGGTGCATATGATGGGGCATTAGGCCAGCCCTATGGTACCTATCATCCATCAGTGGCCAGTACAACTGGTCAAACTATTGGGCAAAAAAAAATGGATGTTACGGTTTCCAAAGCTTTGGACTCCAATTCCAATCAGGGTTACCAATATACTGTGGCGACAAAGACAGGTATTACAGACTTAGCAAACCAGTATAATCCTGTTCCCATGACTACGCTTCCCTACAGCACGCAGGCACCCCAGTCGCCAGGGATGTACAGCAGTATGGGTATGCAGTATGGCCAGAAGATATCCCAGCCTCTTATGCCACCAGCTCGACAATTTGATCAAGGGCAAAGTCACTCAACACAGCAATCAGGCCAAAGTCAATCCCAAGGATACTCTATAGCATATCCACCAGTCAGTCAACAAGACAAGTCAATTGAAAAAACAGCATTATCTAAAAGAAATAATCCTGATCAGATACAGAAGGCAGATCCTATGGAAGTTTCAGCCCAAACAGAGAACATGGTCAATGAGGGTCTATTAAAAGCTAAAGACTCAAATAGAGAATCTCATATGCCTTTTAAGCTGCAGAAAGTGCACTACCCTCCACAAGAAGCAGTGATATCGTCAGTCGTACCTGGACAAAAAGAGAGAGAGTTTCAACTTAGTGTCGCCAAGCAGGACGTTACTTCAGCCATGCTCAATTCTACTCTACTCAACAAACAGGTGCGCAGTGAGAACAAGCCAGTAAAGAGGAGTCACAATCATTCTCTTCCTGTTCCAAATTCTGGATATGTCTCAGGATCTGTGGCTAGGAGTAAGTCTGAGGGTGCCACCTGTAAATGGATGTGTGAGCACTGTACTTTTCACAACTCTGCAGATACCAAGGTGTGTGCTATGTGCAGCAAGACCAGTAAGAACCCTACCTATGTGTATGATGAAGGGAGAGAGGTAAATACTAGTGCTGCTGCCCCCAGTAGCCTGGCAGCACCAGATACCATTGTAGATGTGGAGGAAACGAGAGTTCTTGACCAAGCACTTCATTATGGACAGCGAGCATACAATGAATACAAACAAGTGAGTATTAAAAAAAAAAATAATAAGTAATGCACAAAACTAAACAGCAATTATAGCCAGGTGAGTTTAATCTGGACTCAAGGCTAATTAGTGGACAAAAAGATAACTAAACAAGGCCAGTTGTAAAAGAGAGCAACATCTGTTGTGGTATATGGGTTACTTGGTTTTGGTGTTACAGTAGAAGATACTTAGAGGTTACACAATGAGTGGTTGTGGTATAGGGGTTACTTGGTTTTGGTGTTACAGCAGGAGATACTTAGAGGTTACACAATGAGCGGTTGTGGTATATGGGTTTTTTTTTTCTTTTGAGCTAGCTGTTTTTCAAAATTGACAAAAAACACACACTTTAGTGATTTTTTTGGAAACTTTTGGAAATAACTAACTAGAGTGAAAGAAACACCATATAGCATGACCAGAAATTTGTGTGACCTGTTTCTACTAATTTGGGTGTAATTATATGCTTGTTAGTGCAGTGTTGCTATTTTATATGCAAAGCTGACAATACCGTAAACATATGGAGACATTGAAACTCCTTACAAATTAGTGTTGGGAGTCATTTTCTATTTCATAATGGATCCATATTGACTATAATCGATTATGGAAAGGACATATGTAATTTTAGAATAAATGACAGTGACGTCAAATTCAGTTTTAGGTCTTTATTCTGGGTAGAATATTTTCCCTATAAAATAACAAATGAATACAATAAATAAAAGTTACATAAATAATAACATACATTGATTACAATGGACAATCGGATATTTATATTTATAGATACTTTTAGCAGAATTACAATAGAACAACAGAACAATGGAATTTGCGCCATTTTCATTCTTTTAGAAATATACAATGTAGACATTCAATTCTCATAATGAATGAATATGCAATATTTATTCATACACAGTACAATTACATGATATATCTATTTGCAATAGCATACACGGGGTTGGGGGTTACTATTCCGCAATAATCAACGTCGAGATGACCAACTGGATATTATACAAAAACAAAAAAATATGTGAACCGTAAATAATTAGCAACAATAATAACTAATTAATGAAATCGACTCCGTAAATGACCAAATTCCACAACGGCAAATTACAATCTAGATAAGAGATAAGACACCAACCTTCACATTTTCTTTTAACCGGACATCTCCCAAAATGAAATGAACAAAATGGCGGCTCCTTTCATACTGACGCAAGGTGACCAAACAAAGACAAACGACTAAACGCCAATCCAAAACGAGACAATACTGACTATACCTTATATGGTACATTACAAAACGACTGTACACCACATTAACATAACAATACACAAAACGTAAGATGTAGATATACAGACAAACAAACAGACATTTACAAGTCCGCGCGCAAATAATGCGTACTGATTAACACGACAGTTATAAAATAGCATACTTAATTAAAATCAAACACCTATTAATTAACTTTATTAAAATTACAGATTTTACACATTGTTACACATACATCTCCTTTTTCGTGATGTTAAATTGATAACATCATAGATAAATAAAAGTTAAAGTGTTATGTACTTCATGCTTTCTTGCCTGGAACATGATGGAGAATGGGCTCTACCATTTTAATTAAATTAGTCCCATACGCTTTGGAAAATAATATTTATTAAGTGCTCAAGTGTGAATGTCACTTTTTATTTTACTGATGATCCATCATGAATGATTGTTGTTGATTGATTATTTGGTTAGTGTTCAAATAAAAATGAAATTATTACAAAAATAGTTGTGAACTACCTTTGCCAGGTTTTAATTCCAATGAGGGTGAAGCACCTTTTCAGTCAAAGTTAATCTGGCCAATTGCTTAATTATCTTGTGACATCTGGTTCTTAACAAATATATATTGTAAGAAGCTCTCAACAGATCTGTTTAATATTTACTCCATAGTATTGTAACACCTACAGCTAGACATTTCAACACAACTATTTATGTCCATTTAAGGAATCTTATTCTGTTGATGCGAGGAAAATTCATGCAGGTGAAAAAAGTAAAATCTATAATTAATTAACCACTGCATTGGTGTTACCTGTCTTTATAGGTGGAAATTGAAAAGAAAGAAGCTCATGAGAGATATCAAGAAAAATTAAGACAAGAAGAGGCAGCTAAAACAACAGTTAAACCTTTACCAGAGGAAGTTTCAGGATTTGTGATGTTAGAGGCACCTTCTCCTAACATTAAATATCCAACTGCAAAACCAGCAGAACTACAACCAGAGAAGAAAAAAGCATCTGCTCAGCCAGTGACACATTCACCGCCAATGTCTTTTAGCAATGCAGGTTTCAATGGAAAGAAGGATTTGAGTTTCACAGAGAAAATGAAAGAGTTGAACCAAAGAAAGAAACAAGAATCACTGATTCAGGAGGGACGCAGCTTAGTGAAAGTACTTAAGGTAAGAGGTGTGGCTCATTCTCTAGATATGTAACTATTACCAAGTTTAATGAACACATCTTGAAGTACTTCCTAATGATTTCTATGTAAGTTTGCTACTCTGATAGATTTAATGATCATGTAACTTTCCTGCAGGAGGCTGAGAAAGCAGGCTTTGCAATGGAAGAAATCTGTCTTGGTTTGGAGAAATGTAACCAGGACTTTGGAAAAACTATGAAGTGGCTTAAAAATGAGTGGCAAATGTCTATGGAAACACTCATTACTATGGTAACTAACGAAGGAACTAGAATGGAGCAAAATGAAATTGGAGAGCTTTCCTTTCCTGAGGCGAAAAAGGCTCTACAGGAAGCAAAAGGAGATCTTGACACTGCTGCTGCTGTCTGTATTGCTAACAGGAGAGACATGGTAAGCCTCCTTTAATATAACATTTACCTTGATGACTTCATGGGAACAAATGGGAATTTCTTGAATATTTCCTGTCTTGAGTGTTGGGCAGGGAAATATCTACTTTCTCAGAGGCTGACTGTTAATAATATTCGCCAAGGGAGAAAATCTTTTGTGTGCTGCTCTCAGGTTAAGCAATTATCCTTTCCTTGTTATTTTCTTCAAATGAAAATTCATTCAAATTTGATGTGAAAATTATTGAACAATTCACTTATCTGAACATTAGCAGCCAGTATTACAATGATACCTGTTAAAAAGAAAAAGAAAAGAGACAAACATGTTTGCTTTTTCATTGTAATGATTTTATAAAAAAAAAAATTTCTGTGAAGAGTGAGTGAGTGTCCGAGAAAACAGATCTTCTTGCACAAATTCAGATTTATATCTAAAGTTTACTTATGAGAAGGATGTTATGCTTACAACACACCTCAAGTTTTGCTATATAATATGATGACTTTCTTTCCTTTGTCAGTATAAAGAGATATCCAGCAGAGGGAACTTCGCACGAGAGGAGATCCTGATGGCAATGTTGACAAATAAAGGTGATGCTGAGGCAGCACTTGATGAGCTGAACTTTTCCAGTATCCAACCATTTTATGAACGAGTGTGGGCAGAGTTTGATAATGTACCCCTGGCAGCTGGGGCCATGGCTAGGCCAATGGATATGCAGGACGAGATGAGTGTGACAAACAGCATTCTCAGTCACCATGACTTCTGGGCCTCTGTTACTGATAGAAATGTAGATATGAATGTGAGTAATTGATGGTTCAGTAAATCTTATTTTATAGATCAGTATTGTTGATTGATAGTGTATTGTTAAAACTTTTCCCTTTGTTGAGTTGTGAATGAGAACTTTGAATTTTAAATCTAAAACAAATGTTAAATACAATACTGAAGTATTCATTTTTTTATCCTCTTGATTCAAATCATGAAAATGCCCTTTCTTAGATTTCAAACAGATATTGTCAGAGGAGTAATACAACATCTGTTCATCATTCAGCCAGACATTTGATAAAACAACATTAACATATATCCCAAGATTTGTTTGAATTATGTATTTTTTAGCCACTTAACATTTAGGATTCAGAAAAAAGAAAAGATGTATTGATTTTGCAAAAGTCAAGATTTTTCTTTGTGAAAATGTATCTTATTACCTGGCATAAGGATGACAAAGAAACTAAGAATAAAGTTCAAACAATACATTCTGAATTCCTGTATCTGATACTTTTGTCTACATTTAAATGGAATCTTAGTTGATACTTTTGTCTACATTTAAATGGAATCTTAGTTGATACTCCCAGGTTTCAAAATTTAGACTTTAGCATCCTTTAAAAGTCCAAGAAGGGCAAGACAGGTGTATGATACAGTTTAATTCATTATTTTGGTTCCACTGTTTTAAATTCAGAAAAACTACCTGTCAAACCTTCAATTTTGGGAAGTTAATCACATTTCTTTTTGCATTTAAAAGGACATCAAATTGAAAAGCATGAATTTATTATGAGCATGGATCCAGAGAAGTTAACAATTAATATCAGGAATTTTAACTGTTTTGTTTTGTCATATAGCGACGAGTGCGAATGATACTGGTTGAGGGAAAGCTCCAGAGCTGGGGCAGAGCTGAAGTGGTAATCAAGATTTTGGATGTAGATGTTGCCAACAACACAGTTGAGGCTTCTCTTGGAGAAATTGTGGAAGCTGTGAAGAACTGTCAGGATTATAAGAGCTCTCTGGTGTACCTCAGTCAGGAATGTGAAATCTGCATGGGCAAGTTTGCTATGAGCAGGGTCAGTGTCCATTTTAACTTGATGATATTTGGCAGATAATGATGATAAAATTAATGACAAAATACCTTAAGTCTGTTATTATGTAAAAATTCAAAACCAGAGTTTTTGTGTTTGTGGTATCTGGATGTTTTTACTATTTCAGAATGAAATTTTTAGGTCTTAAAGATATAACATATTTTATGTATTTGTACCTTCAGATTGAGCTCCTATGAGGGGTGAAATTGCCTTGTGTTCGTACATGTCATTTCACATTTTTAGCCCACTATCATCAGATGGTGGACTGTTCAAATTGTTGTTCAACCTGGATCCTTGTCCATAGTGTGTCTGTTAACAGTCCTTGTTATCTCTATTTCTTGAAAAGTACTGGAGGGATATTTCTCATACCTCATATGTAGGTTTACCTCTGTCCCTAGTTATGTCCAGGTTTACCTCTGTCCCTAGTTATGTCCAGGTCTACCTCTGCCCCTAGTTATGTCCAGGTCTACCTCTGCCCCTAGTTATGTCCAGGTTTACCTCTGTCCCTAGTTATGTCCAGGTCTACCTCTGTCCCTAGTTATGTCCAGGTCTACCTCTGCCCCTAGTTATGTCCAGGTTTACCTCTGTCCCTAGTTATGTCCAGGTTAACCTCTGTCCCTAGTTATGTCTAGGTTTACCTCTGTCCCTAGTTATGTCCAGGTTTACCTCTGTCCCTAGTTATGTCCAGGTTTACCTCTGTCCCTAGTTATGTCCAGGTCTACCTCTGCCCCTAGTTATGTCCAGGTCTACCTATGTCCCTAGTTATGTCCAGGTTTACCTCTGTCCCTAGTTATGTCCAGGTTTACCTCTGTCCCTAGTTATGTCCAGGTTTACCGCTGTCCCTAGTTATGTCCAGGTTTACCTCTGTCCCTAGTTATGTCCAGGTTAACCTCTGTCCCTAGTTATGTCTAGGTTTACCTCTGTCCCTAGTTATGTCCATGTTTACCTCTGTCCCTAGTTATGTCCAGGTTTACCTCTGTCCCTAGTTATGTCCAGGTTTACCTCTGTCCCTAGTTATGTCCAGGTTTACCTCTGTCCCTAGTTATGTCCAGGTTTACCTCTGTCCCTAGTTATGTCCAGGTCTACCTCTGCCCCTAGTTATGTCCAGGTCTACCTATGTCCCTAGTTATGTCCAGGTTTACCTCTGTCCCTAGTTATGTCCAGGTTTACCTCTGTCCCTAGTTATGTCCAGGTTTACCTCTGTCCCTAGTTATGTCCAGGTTTACCGCTGTCCCTAGTTATGTCCAGGTTTACCTCTGTCCCTAGTTATGTCCAGGTTAACCTCTGTCCCTAGTTATGTCTAGGTTTACCTCTGTCCCTAGTTATGTCCATGTTTACCTCTGTCCCTAGTTATGTCCAGGTTTACCTCTGTCCCTAGTTATGTCCAGGTTTACCTCTGTCCCTAGTTATGTCCAGGTTTACCGCTGTCCCTAGTTATGTCCATTTAAATTTTAGATTGATCATTGAAACAAAATGGGTAATAGGCCAACATTTTGGATTTGAATATTATTATTGCTATATTTTGGGAAGTACTAGAAAGAGATTTCTCAATCTTAATGTGTAGATTCCTCTTGGTTCTAGGTTGTACCCTTTCAGTTTTGTGTCTGCTCAAGAAAAATAATTGGCTGACAGAAGATCAACTTGGATTCTGACAGTTGAAGTTTGTTATCATTATTATTTCGGAACTTGCTTGTTTGATTTTTCTTAGATTTCATATTAAGGAGGCCCTTGTTATCAAATGATTTAGAGGAAAAGAAGAAAGAAGGGAAAGCTTAGAAAAATCAGTTTTCCAAAGAACCACTAAAAGTCATTCATTTGTGGGTGCCAAGATTACTTTAGGATCTTTCATAAGTTTTAGCTCCTGTACTTTTTAAATTGTTTTTTTTTTCTTTCAGATCCGTAATCTAGGCTCTTGTGAGTGTAAGATCTGTGTAGAGTGTATGAAGGGTTATTTTGAGGTGTGTATCCGAGAGAAACATGTACGTAACCTGAACTGCCCCCTGTGTAGCCAGCCTGATATGGAGGACAGTGACTTGGCTACTAACTATCTCACCTTCCTCACCATGTTGGTCAGTAACTTAGGCATACATCTTCATGTTACACTCTTTATTAAAATAAAAACTGTCAGTTATCATAAGAGAGATTAAATTATTTCAATCAAAGACTGCTGGACTGTCACATAATTTGAAACCAACACAATAGCTTAGTTGTGATATGGCAGAATTTTTTACCATTTTTGGGAAAATCCAATCTGATTCAGCTGAAGCATTGTCTTTAAACTTATAAATTTGAAAAATATTAAGTTTCACCAAAGTTTGCAAGTATTCCATCTGTGATCTTATATAGATGTGATCTCAACACTATGTACCTATACTATTTACCCAAACACAGCAAACTCCATGCTGATATAAAAATACTTCTTGATGAGTTTAGGCAATCAACTCTAACATAATTAAGCTGTTGAGAAACATGATGGAACAAATCTCCGTAGGATTTCTGTCAAAAATTCTGTATATAAATCAGGGTGAAAATCAGAGAATTTATACTTCAAGCTGTCTGACTCTACAGAAGTTCCTTAAGAATTCTGTACATAAATCAGGGTGAAAATCAGAGAATTTATACTTCAAGCTGTCTGACTCTACAGAAGTTCCTTAAGAATTCTGTACGTAAATCAGGGTGAAAATCAGAGAATTTATACTTCAAGCTGTCTGACTCTACAGAAGTTCCTTAAGAATTCTGTACATAAATCAGGGTGAAAATCAGAGAATTTATACTTCAAGCTGACTCTACAGAAGTTCCTTAAGAATTCTGTACATAAATCAGGGTGAAAATCAGAGAATTTATACTTCAAGCTGTCTGACTCTACAGAAGTTCCTTAAGAATTCTGTACATAAATCAGGGTGAAAATCAGAGAATTTATACTTCAAGCTGTCTGACTCTACAGAAGTTCCTTAAGAATTCTGTACATAAATCAGGGTGAAAATCAGAGAATTTATACTTCAAGCTGTCTGACTCTACAGAAGTTCCTTAAGAATTCTGTACATAAATCAGGGTGAAAATCAGAGAATTTATACTTCAAGCTGACTCTACAGAAGTTCCTTAAGAATTCTGTACATAAATCAGGGTGAAAATCAGAGAATTTATACTTCAAGCTGTCTGACTCTACAGAAGTTCCTTAAAAAGTCAAATTTAAGAGAAGTCAGGTTTTTCTTTACATTTACAACATGGTCCACTTTATTAAATAAAGAACAATTCAAATTATTTTTGTAATGTCCATTGGAAAGAGTTCAAATAACTTAATTTGCATTCTATGGTACCATGCTTATGAAAGTATTTAAAACTCTCATAGTGAGTGTTTTTTGTAGCATGTAAGCTTCAATTCAGTATTGATGTTTGTAACTATGTCACAGCTACAGACAATTCTCAGTCCAGAAGATCTAGAATTGTATGACTCCAAGCTAAGGGACTGGAACCTACAGAAAGATCCACATTTCCGATGGTGTGCACATGTAAGTAGAGGAAACATGCTCCTGTACATACATAAAAATATCTGTTATTTAGACATATCTTTGAGAGCTTTAGATGTGTTAGAATATTGACATCTAAGTTTTTCTGATGAATACTTTTTAATGTATGTAAATTGAGTTGAGGTTAGTCTGGATATGCGATACATTGAAGTAACATCCATTTGTATTTCAATTGTAAGTTTTTGTGTTTGAAAAGAGAGAGAATCAGAGAAAATGTTTCCAAACTGGCCTTTTTTCTCTTGATCAAAATGACTAAATATGAAAACATGAAAGTTAAGGATTTCTTAGTATCTGAACTGTGTGTTTTTATGCCCATGCCAGTGGAGGATGGTTGGGATGGTTGTGTTACCCATGTCTGTCTGTCATAATGGCACTTCTATGGTTTATAGACATTATGTAATCTGTCACTGGTTTCTTTCAGTGTGGTAATGGGTTCATATGGGATAGACAGGACGTGATGGGAATGGTGTGTTCACAGTGTAACAAAAAGACATGCTACAACTGTAAGAAACAGGTAAAGAATGTTGATATCTGCAGTGAATTTATTTTGCCATATTGTACAACCACGAAGGAAGACAATAAACAAATATAGATGTTAGTGTACCAAGCATTTAAACTATCAAATACATAATTGCTACTGTGGTACTGTTGAGAGTTTTGGGCTGTCCACCAATGGCAGTTTTCTCAAAAAAAGCTGCTGTTCAGTTTTCTGTAAATAGATATATGGATATGACATAATGTCATGATTTGGATTTAAGTTTTCATATAACAAGATGAAAGTTCCATGTCAGTATTTTATTTCACAGAATAAAACCTATACAACATTGTTTTCCCATATTGTCTCTAACTACCTTTAAATCTTCTCCCATTAGAAGTGCTGATAATGCCATGTCTCCTCCTCTATAGTACCATATTTATGCATGGTAATGATAATTTATACCTGTTTTCCCCAGTGGGAGGACCAGCATGAGGGTTTGACCTGTGAGGATTTTGAACAGTGGAAGATTGACAATGACCCAGAAAACCAAGCAATGGGACTTGCCAGACATCTACAAATCAATGGCATCGGTATGTCTGGATTTTTTTTATTGAAAGAAAAACCAAACAAATAAATAAAAAACAAAAAAAAAACAAAAAAAAACAACAACAATAAATTGCCTTTACAGAGCGACAATTCAGACATGAAATTCATGTGTATACAGTCTTGTTTCTGAGATGCATATGCCTAGTTGTAACACTTTTTTGATCGATCTGACTTTAAAATGACTTATGAAAAAATGATTTTATAGAATGAAAGCTTTATATTCTTAAGTGTTTTTGATGTAGTTGGAACGAGACCTACTGTATGTTGAACACTTACTGAAGGCATATATTTACTCTTCATTTGTCCCTATCCATTTAACAAGCTGTTACATACACTATAATGTCCTTTTATCATTTTGTCCCTCAATAAGCCAACACAAAGTAGGGAAGTGGTCTTGATATTAGGAAATGGTATAGCAATGGTAAAAGGCTTATCTACTCTAACTACAATAGTGGTGGGTGGGCTTATTACTAGGCATGGCCTTATTGATAGGCACAGGCTTATTGATGAATATAAGCTGTAGTTAGAATTGAATAGTGTATGTTAATTATTGTTGAGTGTATTGACTGTGTTATACAGACTGCCCCAGCTGTAAGATGAGGTACGCACTGGCTAAGGGAGGCTGTATGCACTTCAAGTGTCCACAATGTGGGCATGAGTTTTGTAGTGGCTGTTCACAACCATTTGTCAAACAGGGGGTAAGTGCTCCGACCAAATCCTCTCACATTGTTAATTTTTTTGAACATATGTGATGTACTTAAGAAAGTCACAGATTCTCTTCAGTTTAAAATGATTAAAAATTACAGCAGGATAATGAAACAACATATCAGATACAAGTCGAAAGGACAAACTTGGTAAAACCTATGGTTTATAATTTACTGTGAGGGGACCTCCAATAACAGATGTTATATCGGATGTTGCAGCCTTGTGTTGGATACCAGCGTTGTCAAGGTAAAGGGATACACAGTCACCATCCCCGTGACTGTTTCTACTATCTCCGGGACAACAGTGTTGAGGACTTACAAAGAATACTCAAGGTAAGTTCATTTTTCACACAAAAATCTTTTTCTTTTTTTTTCTGATTTTTAAGGAATTCTAATATCTCAATACTTGGTTCAGATTTTAAACATTATAGACAAAATAATGAACACTGACTCTATCAATATTACATTTCAGTGATAAAAACAGTATGTTTCATATTAGGAATACTTTTGTTTTTATTCCTGTGATACAATAGCTAATCTGTAGCCAGTTCAGTTTCAACTCATTGACCTATGCTGGTTTGTGGAGCTTTGAACCCTTTAACTGTTTTAAACAGGACAAGAAGCTTCATTTTAATCATGAGGCTCCAGATTCACAGAATATGGAAACATGTCCAGTGATGGAACAGAAAGAAATGGACAGTCATAAGAAAGATGAACCATGTGGACGAGAGGTGTTGAGGGGACATGCTGGTCTCTGTGTGTAAGTGAAGGGGGAATTCTGGTAACTAGGGACCTTGTACATGAGAGAGTGTCAGGTTTACTTGTAACCAGGGGACTTGTATGGGATGTAGATTGTTAGGTTTACTTGTAACCAGGGGACTTGTATGGGATATAGAGTGTTAGGTTTACTGTTAACCAGGGGATTGTATGGGATGTAGATTGTTAGGTTTACTTGTAACCAGGGGACTTGTATGGGATATTGAGTGTCAGGTTTACTGTTAACCAGGGGACTTGTATGGGATATAGAGTGTTAGGTTTACCGTTAACCTGGGGACTTGTATTGGATGTAGAGTGTCAGGTTTACTGTTAACCAGGGGATTGTATGGGATATAGAGTGTCAGGTTTACTGTTAACCAAGGGACTTGTATGGGATGTAGAGTGTCAGGTTTACTGTTAACCTGGGGACTTGTATGGGATGTAGAGTGTTAGGTTTACAGTTAACCAGGGGACTTGTATGGGATGTAGAGTGTTAGGTTTACTTGTAACCAGGAGACTTGTATGGGATGTAGAGTGTTAGGTTTACTTGTAACCAGGGGACTTGTATGGGATGTAGAGTGTTAGGTTTACTGTTAACCAGGGGATTGTATGGGATGTAGAGTGTTAGGTTTACTTGTAACCAGGAGACTTGTATGGGATGTAGAGTGTCAGGTTTACTGTTAACCAGGGGATTGTATGGGATGTAGAGTGTTAGGTTTACTTGTAACCGGGGGACTTGTATGGGATATTGAGTGTCAGGTTTACTGTTAACCAGGGGACTTGTATGGGATATAGAGTGTTAGGTTTACCGTTAACCTGGGGACTTGTATTGGATGTAGAGTGTCAGGTTTACTGTTAACCAGGGGATTGTATGGGATATAGAGTGTCAGGTTTACTGTTAACCAAGGGACTTGTATGGGATGTAGAGTGTCAGGTTTACTGTTAACCTGGGGACTTGTATGGGATGTAGAGTGTTAGGTTTACTGTTAACCAGGGGACTTGTATGGGATGTAGAGTGTTAGGTTTACTTGTAACCAGGAGACTTGTATGGGATGTAGATTGTTAGGTTTACTTGTAACCAGGGGACTTGTATGGGATATAGAGTGTTAGGTTTACTGTTAACCTGGGGACTTGTATGGGATGTAGAGTGTTAGGTTTACTGTTAACCTGGGGACTTGTATGGGATGTAGAGTGTCAGGTTTACTGTTAACCAGGGGATTGTATGGGATATAGAGTGTTAGGTTTACTGTTAACCAGGGGACTTGTATGGGATATTGAGTGTCAGGTTTACTGTTAACCAGGGGACTTGTATGGGATATAGAGTGTTAGGTTTACTTGTAACCGGGGGACTTGTATGGGATATTGAGTGTCAGGTTTACTGTTAACCAGGGGACTTGTATGGGATAAAGAGTGTTAGGTTTTACTGCTAACCAGGGGATTGTATGGGATATAGAGTGTTAGGTTTACTGTTAACCTGGGGACTTGTATGGGATGTAGAGTGTCAGGTTTACTGTTAACCAGAGGATTGTATGGGATGTAGAGTGTCAGGTTTACTGTTAACCAAGGGACTTGTATGGGATGTAGAGTGTCAGGTTTACTGTTAACCTGGGGACTTGTATGGGATATAGAGTGTTAGGTTTACTGTTAACCAGGGGATTGTATGGGATATAGAGTGTTAGGTTTACTGTTAACCAGGGGATTGTATGGGATATAGAGTGTTAGGTTTACTGTTAACCAGGGGACTTGTATGGGATGTAGAGTGTTAGGTTTACTTGTAACCAGGAGACTTGTATGGGATATGGTGTGTTAGGTTTACTGTTAACCAGGGGATTGTATGGAATGTAGAGTGTCAGGTTTACTTGTATCCAGGGGACTTGTATGGGATGTAGAGCGTTAGGTTTACTTGTAACCAGGGGACTTGTATGGGATATGGTGTGTTAGGTTTACTGTTAACCAGGGGATTGTATGGAATGTAGAGTGTCAGGTTTACTGTAACCAGGGGATTGCATGGGATATAGAGTGTCAGGTTTACTTGTATCCAGGGGACTTGTATGGGATGTAGAGCGTTAGGTTTACTTGTAACCAGGGGACTTGTATGGGATATTGAGTGTCAGGTTTACTGTTAACCAGGGGATTGTATGGGATATAGAGTGTTAGGTTTAGTTGTAACCAAGGGACTTGTATGGAATATAGAGTGCTAGGTTTAATGTTAACCAGGGGATTGTATGGGATAAAGAGTGTCAGGTTTACTGTATGGGATGTAGAGTGTTAGGTTTACTGTATGGGATGTAGAGTGTTAGGTTTACTGTATGGGATGTGGAGTGTTAGGTTTACTGTATGGGATGTGGAGTGTTAGGTTTACTGTATGGGATGTGGAGTGTTAGGTTTACTGTATGGGATGTGGAGTGTTAGGTTTACTGTATGGGATGTGGAGTGTTAGGTTTACTGTATGGGATGTGGAGTGTTAGGTTTACTGTATGATATGTAGAGTGTTAGGTTTACTGTATGGGATGTGGAGTGTTAGGTTTACTGTATGGGATGTAGAGTGTTAGGTTTACTGTATGGGATGTGGAGTGTTAGGTTTACTGTATGGGATGTAGAGTGTTAGGTTTACTGTATGGGATGTGGAGTGTTAGGTTTACTGTATGGGATGTGGAGTGTTAGGTTTACTGTATGGGATGTAGAGTGTTAGGTTTACTGTATGGGATGTGGAGTGTTAGGTTTACTGTATGGGATGTGGAGTGTTAGGTTTACTGTATGGGATGTGGAGTGTTAGGTTTACTGTATGGTATGTGGAGTGTAAGGTTTACTGTTAACATGGGGACTTGTATGGGATGTAGAGTGTTAGTTTTACTGTTAATCAAGGGATTGTATGGGATGTAGAATGTTAGGTTTACTGTATGGGATGTAGAGTGTTAGGTTAGGGTATTCAGAGGGGACTTGCACAGTATCAAATGTCACTGGCAGATTCAAACATCAGTATGCTTGGTACAGGGCATATGATGCCCTATTTATTAACATTTAAGCAACTTGTTCTCTGCCCAGATTGTCAGGTTTAAAAAACTTGAAAGGTTCCTTCACAAGAGATTAACATTAATGCTTTCATCTTTGATGCAGAAATCATTACAAGGAGTATCTAGTGGGGATTTTAAATAAGAACAAAGCAGATCCTGTTAACATTCTATCTGTTGGTGAAATGAAGAATCTTCTAGAGAGGGAAGAGAAGAACATACCAGTACAAAGAGAAGGAGAGCGAGATGGACAGTACAGAAAGCGTCTTGTCTCGGTACGTACTAATGTATACTCTCTCACTATTGCATCTGATTTGTTTTTTTTGAGGGAAGGGATGAAGTTTATAAAATACTCCCAACAAAGTTCTTACTATCATTATTCTTTCTTTGGCTGCGTTCTGCTGTAATGGTTTCTGACACTTTTCTTTAAAACTGTTTGTTGAATCTTCACCTAACTTTTAGGGGATTAATACTTTTGCCTCAGGATGTGCGAAAATCTTTTTTTTCTGAGTTGGCAAGATGGTCATCATTTTCTGGCTCCTGATTTCCTGATACAAAAGAAGAAACCTGAAATTTTTGTTATGTCCAGAGCATCAAGATGAGAATGGATGGAAATGATAACAATATGATACTCTTTAGATGGGGTAATAAAAATATGGCTTTGTTATCAAAATGGCTGCCAAATGGAGGCTTCTGATTGGTCAAAAAATTTAGATATTGTCTAATGTTATTTAGGTGTGGTATGACACCTGAAATACGATGGTGATGTCAGTTGTCTGATTGGACTAGGGGGTTAGTCGAATTTTTTATTTTGTTAGGTGTTTTTCAGGATTCCCTGCCTGTATGAAATTTATTGTTTAGAATTTTTAAAGGTGTCTGTTCCGCAAACCTTCCTTCCTTATGTTGAAGTACTTTAATAAGTAAATTCTGTTTCTTTTCTTCTGTTTGCAGTACATTAAGGAGAAGTTGCCTATCAAGCGAAACAGGTAATGAGAAAGAATAGTTCTCTGAGGCAGTCATGTAGGAATGACCACTATAGGACATATCTACTAGTCACCCAGGGACAGACAACCCAGGCCACATAGCCTTACTGACACTGAAAAACACCTCGCAGACAAGACACCAACAAGAGGAACCTGGTTTTACCAGATAGCAGAGAAGTAGTTTGAGACTATGGATGTATCAGATACTGATGGACACTCAATTTCTCGATACATATATCTAAACTCAAACTAGTATGTTGGTATTAGAGAGTGGTCAACAAGGCAGGGGACCTACCAACTGCTGGGGACACTGGTCTTAACTCTAACTAGTATGTTGTTATTAGAGATGGGTCAGCCAGGCAGGGGACCTACCAACTGCTGGGGACACTGGTCTTAACTCTAACTAGTATGTTGTTATTAGAGATGGGTCAGCCAGGCAGGGGACCTACCAACTGCTGGGGACACTGGTCTCAACTCTAACTAGTATGTTGTTATTAGAGATGGGTCAGCCAGGCAGGGGACCTACCAACTGCTGGGGACACTGGTCTCAACTCTAACTAGTATGTTGGTATTGGAGAGTGGTCAACCACAGGGGCAGCCTGTAATTTAGGATCATGCCACTGTTAGCGTCATGAGGATGGTCTGTGATTTACAATCATTCCCTGTTAGCAGCTTTAGGGAGGCCTGTGATTTAAGATCAATGTTTACATTCCACTTCATTGAAGAAATAAGATTAAAAGTATTATGTATACCCTTCTATGCAAAAAGAGTCACACTGTACATATCCATTTTATTGTATATACAAAGATACATGTAATGTGTCTTACTGTTTCATACACATAGTACACTGTATGTACCTGTCAGTAGTGTTTAACACATGTCATTTTACATGTTTCATTTTAGATAGGATAATGACCTGGAAAAATTATTTTGTATTTCTATCATATTTGTGTATGCATTTCACATTCTACAATATATTGGCTTTTCAGTCCATTTGGTCCTTAATCCCTTTGGAGATCTACTCGAGTCTCACTCTCCCTGTTGTCATCTTTAACCATAAACTTCTTCATTGAAAAATTTCTTCTCAAGCTTGATCCAGGCTGATAACAAAACATCCTTTTTGGTCATGTTGCTTAGTATTTGATGTAAAGGTTGTCCTAGATTTAGTCAGTTTTCATCTGATCCTGAGCTGAAATATTTGCTGTTATCTGATGTTTTCATGTAAATATTATTTTTACATAAATAATAATTTGAAATATTATGTAAGTGTGTTTTATGGTTTCGACCCAAACTAACAAGTATGGTTTTGACTCTAGGACCATTTTATTCTGATCTGGAGAGAACTTGTGTTTAGGACTCTGTCCTCAACACATTACTCAGAAAACTCTCACAGATTTTTGTTGGAGCATACATTTTTCTTGTACGATAATGTTGATACTGTTACAAAGTAAAACCTATTGTTGAATCAACCATGACAGCATTGAGACTGAGAAATGGAGAGAGAAAAAGGAGAGAGAAAGTGAGAAATCTTACATTTGTTAACTATTCTATAAATCTCCGGTGAATTGTAGGATTTTTATAACCTAACCATGTTTTGTTGAGATATTGATATGAAAATAAACATTTTTTGAATACTGATTAACAATACATTTCAACAAAATGGTATTTTGTTTGTTAGCTTCCTTATTTGAAAACATTACACATATTGTGATGTACATTTTACACAATCATTTATTACATCCTGACTTGTGTAATATAGATAAGTAAACAAGTTGTTTTTCATTCTAATAAAAAATTCTACCAATGAAAATAGAGAACATATTCATCTAAAATTGGCCAATTAAAAAAGCCCTTACAAAATTATGAAAAAAATAAAGCATACTAAACCGAATATAAAAGTGTTTTACGCTAACAATTTGTGATCCTCAATATCCTCTATATCTCTGCCAGGTATAAGGATTTGTCTAGTCATAACACAATATATTGAGTTGGAGTTTTTGCGCTGATATCGGGGTTATAATATGAGAAATATAACTGATAATATCCTGAATACTAAATGCTGTCCAGGCTCTTTGAGCTGTTAAATAGCCACAAGAATACTCCAAACCTGTTTTATTATTATTAAGTTAATAGTTAACCTTGTTGGATTTTTTCTATGACAACTTAAATGTTTTGGCAGATAAAGTTAGGAGTAAGACTGATGCTGTTGATTATTCTGTTACTACTTAATCACCAGTGCCTTTTGAATTTTATTTCTAACTAGGTACCATTAGTTACACCCTCTCTGTTGTGATCTCACTGAGTGTTGGTAAAAACAACATAACTTAGTCAGTGAAGCAACAAAATTGTGATGTTTGGTTAAAGAATGGCAATGAAATCATACAAATAACCTTAGTAAATTTGTTTAAACACTTAGACAGAATTATCTGTTTATGATTGTGTCTTTGTAATAGAAATATTGATAATAAAATTTAATGTTTCTTAAGCGACTGTAAGGACTAGTTTTTCTTGAAACGTCTGAGAAATTAGTTTTTAGGAAATTGCCATTACAAACTTCCTATACTTTGGATCAATGATTATCAGATTTTATATGTAGGTTAATCTTGGTCTTGCTTGTGCACTTTCAATTATAGGAAATTCAGTAAAACAAAATGGTTGATAGGCAACAATTTTGGTTTGGTATGCAACCATCTTGGTTTTAACAGAAGTTGTTTCTAGATAATACTGGATGGGTAATTTTCAAATTTCCTATGTAGGTTTACTTTAGTTACTTACTTACTTACTTATAGTTGATTTCCAGTACAGGAATTAAAATTCCTCTTCACCGGACTCGTTATTGTTAATCAATGTAGTTCTGTCACTTCCATTCTTTTTTATATCTGCTCTGTAGCTGTAATACAGCTCCTGGTGTTTCCATTGTTTATCCAGGCGATTTTTGAATGTGTTAGTGTTGGGTGCGTTGACTACATATTCTGGTAGGTTGTTCCATACTTTCCATACTCTGTGAGAGAAGTAATGTTGCCTACGGTAAGTTTTGTTCTAGCTCTCTGGGGGTAGATCTTGTTTGAGTTTGTCCTGTTGCTACTCCTGCTTGCAGCGCTGCTCCAGCTTATAAGTATGTTGTTTGTATTTTTATCATATATTCCACTCATTAGCTTGTATGTCTCGATCATGTCTCCTCTTGTCCTGCGGTAAGCGAGGGTTGGTAATCCTAATTCTTTTAGTCTGTCCTCGTAAGATAAGTTTTTAAGGCCTGGAAGTTGTTTTGTTGCCCTTCTCTGCACTCCTTCAATTCTCTCAATATCTTTTATTTTATAAGGTAACCATACCGAGCTAGCGAAGTCTAGATGCGTTCTCACTAGGGTTTTATAAAGTGGTAGGAATGATTTTTTGTCCATAAAGTTAAAAGTTCTCCGAAGCATGGCAAACATGGAATTGGCTTTATTGACTTTCTCACTTATATGATCTTCAAACGATAGGTTTGAGTCTACTTTGATACCAATGTCTTTTTCACATTCAGAATTCTCCAGCACTGTATTGTTCAATGTATATATGGTTTCACTCAGATTAGGCTTACCAACATGCATGTATTTACATTTTTGAGGATGCACTTCCAGTAACCATTTTTTGCTCCACTTTTCCATATTGATAAGGTCCTCCTGAAGTATCTTGGTATCTTCCTCACTAGTTATAACATTGAATATCTTTGTATCGTCTGCAAATAAGAAAATTGATGACTTGACTTTATCTGGTAGGTCGTTCACAAAAATTACGAATAATATTGGTCCGAGCACTGACCCTTGAGGGATACCTGACATCACCTTTGACCACGCTGAATGATTTCCGTTCACCGCAACTCTTTGTTCTCTTGATGTGAGGAAGCTGCTTATCCAATCTAGCAGTTGCAGTGAAAAGTTGTATGCCTTCAGCTTATTCAGAAGTCTGTTATGGGGGACAGTATCAAAAGCCTTTTTATAGTCTAGGTAAATGCAATCCACCGAGTATCCTTTGTCTAAAGCTTCGGTCCATTTATCCATTACTTCTAACATTTGGAGTGATATGGATCTTCCTGGCAGAAAACCAAATTGTCTTGTAGTAAACAATTTATTGACGTCCATGTGCACCATAATATGATCCCTCACAATTTTTTCCATATATTTACACACAACTGAAGTCAGACTTACAGGTCTGTAGTTCCCTGGCTCACATTTATCACCTTTCTTATAAATTGCACTAATCTGTGCTCTTTTCCAATCATCTGGGATTTGACCCTTCTTCAAAGTTTGGTTGAAGATGTAAGTGAGTGGGCTGGCTATTGACACTGCTGTCTCTTTAAGGATCCTTGGATGTAGATTATCAATGCCTGGGGATTTATCTATCTTCAGCTGTTGTAGCACTTTAATAACTTGCCCTTCTTTTATTTCTAACTCTGTCATATCCACTTTAACTTCCTTCTGTTCCAACTCCGGTACATCTCCATCTGCCTCCTTAACAAAGACACTTTGAAAGAACTCTGATAAGATATTTGCTTTCTCTTTATCATCATTGGTTTTCTGATTTTTATCATGTTGGTTGGTATATAGATCCCCTATACCCGATTCTTTTTTTGATTTTGATTTAATGTATCTCCGTAGAGCTTTTGGGTTGGACTTCGCCCTTGTTGACAAGTCATTTTCAAACGCCTTTCTTATTTTCCTGGTTTCTCTCTTTACCTTATTTCTTATCCGTTTATAATCCTTTTGAATGTCCGGATTCCTTGTTTGTATTGCTTTCTTAGATAGAGAGTGTTTCTTTCTTATCAGTTGGATTGTTTTCCTGTCTATTGGGTAGCCACCTACTGTATGTCTATTATTCGTTATCACTTTGCAGGGTATGTGGTTGTTCACTGTTTCTTCTACAGTTTTGTGAAATATTTCCCAATTCTGATTTACCGAGTTTGTTTCCAAGAGCTTTTCATCCCAATCCACTCCGCTTATCTCTGCATTCATCGCTTCGTAGTTTGCTTTGTTGAAAAGTCTCATAACCCTTTTCCTCATACTCACTTTGGTATAACAATTAAACACCATTGATAATACACAATGATCACTTTCACCTAAGGGACTTTGATATTCAATATCTGAAATCACATTGTCTTCGTTGGTGAAAACTAAATCCAAGATGTTTGGTTTATCCTCACCTCTCCATCTGGTAGGTTTAACTATATGTTGCCATAAGAAACAGTCTTTAGCACATTCTAAAAATTTAAATTCCTCTGTATTAGTACCTTCACTATTAGTGTTTAGAGTGTCCCAGTTCATATCTGGATAATTTAAATCTCCCATTAACAACACATGTGCATATTTCATATTTGTAATCTCCTCAAAAACACTACGTAGATTCTTGTTGTTTTCTCGTGATCCACTGTCTGATCTGTAAATTAAACCCACAAGTAGTTTTTCTCTCTGATTTATTTTGATTTCAACAATTACACTTTCCTCAAATTCTGTGTTGATTTCTTTCATTTCTGCTTGTAAGTTCTCATTAACATATAACAGTATTCCTCTGCCTTTATTGTTGTCAATGTTTCTCCCAAATGTTCTGTATCCTTTTATTGAAAATTCTGCTTCATTGGGTTTGAATCTTGAATGTTTTGGTTTTACTTCAGTAACACCTATAATGTCTGGTTTCATTTGATTCATCCTAATATCAAGTTCAGAAAATTTATTCGTTAATTGGTCTGCATTCGTATAGACACACTTCAAATTCTCATAAATAAAGTTGCTATTTACACTATTTACACTACTTTCATTGTTTTTTCGAGGGGCTGACTTTCTTATGCCTTTACTATCTTTCTGGCCCATGGTGGCCCCCTTACTTTGAACTTCTCTTCCCCCGACAATTTAGCCTTCGCTTCGAGCCACAGTTTTTTCTCTTCATCTCTCTCAGATTTTGTGAGATCATTACTCACCCTCAAGTCTTTCAGGTTTTCATTGCTCCTCATCTTATGAATGTTCTTGAAGAACTCTTTTTTCTTATTGATGTCCTCAAAGCTTGCTCTTATTGGTCTCTTTTTTGATTGGGGAGTGTTGTTTCCTGGAATCTGAAAGTTACCCAATCTTCTTATTTTCCCAATGCCTCCTGTGCCCACTTCACATGCTCTCATAATATCATGCACTATGTCTGTATCATGCTTAACTCTTTCCGCTGTATTTTTTGATACCAGTTCAG